TTTATTGAATTTCTGATGAGCGAACACAAAATTGGTAAGGAAGATCAAGGGTGTAAATTTGGCATATTTCTCCTTAAGGGTAAACAGCGAACGCTGCAAGAATCTGCAAGCAAAAAATATTCGCAAGATAAAACATTTGACTAAAAGGCAACAAAAAAATTAGTGGCTCCCTACTTTTGGAGATTATAGGCTATTATAATGTTGTCGTGAAATATGTAACGCATATGAACGGATATCTCCGAGCCCATATAGTGTGTATATTCTTGATCAGTATCAACATCCGAGTTGATACAGTCATGCCTGTCTATCTGTATATAGCGACTAGACTTTTAGTTTTAATTACTAGCATCTAAGCCCAATCCAAACCATATTGACTTACTTCTGCTTAATATCGCTGTTGTTTCGTTCCAGCTGGAAGTCCTGTTGTGTCTGTGCTGCCAGACGCTCTGCTGCCTGCAGTTGGGCATTTAGATTATCCACGTCCTGCAGCAAACGCTTGCGTTCCACTTCCAAGCGAGCAGTTTCCGCTTTGGCTGTAAAATAATGGAAATGGATTAATATGAACTGGCTGTGTTTTTGCAAAGCATCATCAACCTGTGTCCAAGTCACGCTGCATTTTGGCAAGAACTAGCTTGTCGTTGGAGCTGCTCTGTAGATCCGACACCAGATGACGCAAATTGATGTGGTTATCGGTTATTTCGTTGAGCAGCTTCTGCTGCGACTGTATCTGCGCATTGGCCACCTGCAGCAGACCCTCGAGCTGTTTGTTCTCCCGCTGTAGTTCCGCCTGCTGAACTTGCCAAGTGGCCAGTGTCTGTCGCTGTTGCTCAAACTCCGCAGCCGTCACATAATCCAGCTGATAGTTGTCTCCAATGATGCCGTAATCCGCACATACGTCCGTGAGCTTCAGTTCGCCTAGCAGCTGTTCCATGGCCTGCGCCAGCTGCATACTTAGCATGGCATTCCGCTGCTCTAGCTGTTGTCGTTCCTCTGTCGTGCAGAGATGCGTTCGCTGCACTGTGCTCAACTGATCGCACTTGGCAGCCAGCTCGGACTTCAGCTTTTCCAATTGTTTTTGTAGGTCCGCTGTGTTCTCAATGTGACGTAGCTCCTGTCGCTTCAAGTCAGATAGCAGGTGATCGTAATCCTCCCGCATGTAGCCATAGGATCTGCTCTGCTCTTGCAGCTGCTTCTCCAGGCTGATCATCTGTTCGTGCAGCTCTTGATTGCAACGTATCAGCTCGTTACCATCGGCGGACATGTGCAGGCGCAGCTCATCGTAGTGCTTGCGCAGAATGGCCAGCTCCGCTAGCTCGGCGGAGCCAGGCCTAGATTTTTCCAGCTCCTGTTCCGTAATGACGGGCAACTGCAGTCCCTCGGATACATCATTCGGTGTAGTTGGTCGCGTGGCCGAATCAATAACCATTATATCCGTCTGTTCCTCCGGCATTTCAGATACATCCCGCATACTGTGCACCGAGGACAACTCACCGGTCTCCGAATCGTTGGCATTTTGCTGCAACAACTGGCACAGTGCCTCCTCGCGTGCCTTCAGCACCTGCAGCTGGCTGTGAAGATGCGGCATGGCTGAGCCACTGGGCAGTGCTTCAATGAGACGCCGCAACAGCTCCGAATCTATGGTGATGTGTTCCGAGGTAGCTTTAAAAGTTTAAGAAGACAATATTTAATCTATAGAGCAATTGAATGCTTTGCTCTGCCCTCCAGTGATAACCTACCATCGTATTCCCGCAGCTTTTCCAGTATCTCATACATGCCCATGCGCAGCGTTTCGTTCTCGGCCAGAACATCCTCGTATTTGGTTTGCAGCTCGGAGCTGGCAGCCCCATCACCTTGGCCGCGACGTGGCGAATTTTCTAGCGGCGCACTTGGAGGCAACTCGCCAACTTCACTGGGCTGATGCAGTGACTCGTCCAGCCTCTGGGGCTGTTCTCTGTTCTGCAGCTCCAGCAGCTTGCGTCTGTAAATTGTTAGCTGAAGTAAAGGACATGGACATGGTCTCATCATGGACTCACCGCAGCTCACACTTATCCAGCTTTAATTGCAGTCGAAGCTCCTCGGAGGTGCGCAGCTTAAGCGTTAACCTCTCAATCTGCTTGTCCTTGTTGCGCTGCTTGGCTCGCACTTGCTTGGATAGGACAACAACATCGTCAGGTATGTTTAGCCTTCGTCGCAGCACAGCATTCTCCTGTTCCAGCTCGTGCATGGCATTCAGTTCCTGGGTGTAGTTGCGCAGCTGCTTATCCCGCTCGGCCAGCTTTTGCTCGAGCCCGGAGCAACGACGCAGCGCCGGCACGAGCCCATCCTCGCCACGTTTATACGCTTCCAAGGCATTGAGGGCGTGCAGCGCCTGCTTGGCCTTGAGCACATTGTCCTGTTCGGAGCTGTCGAGCAGCTCGGATAGCTGCTGCGACCTGGCATTGGCCACGCGCAGACGCTCCTCAATAAGCTGGCAGCAGGCGCGCGGTTTTTGAGGGTTTTTTGCGCCCTCGTGCTGCACGCACAACTGATTCATAACCTTGGTGGAGCTCACCATCTCATCCGTCATGGATTTCAGCTTGTTCTCAAGCGTTTCAATGCGTTTTTCACGTAATTCCAGCAGCTGGAAGATTAAAATTGAAAGAGAGGTAGAAAGTGGAGAGACCTCACCTACATGTCGCATATTAATCAGCTCATCGTCTTGCGGACTCTGTTTGCTGCTGGAAGTGGATTCCAGCGTGCTTTGGCCTGATGTCATCTGCTCTGTCCTCTTATGCAACTGTTCCAGTTCCTTATCCTTTTGGTCTAACAGTTGCTTCCAGCTGAGCACTTGGCTTTCATACTTATCCAGGAATTGTCTCATTTCTAGCTCCTGCTTTTCGCGCTCATCCTCCAAGAAGGTGATGTTGCCCTCAAGTCGCGCTATTTCCAAACCCTGTTGCTGCTCGCGCAGCATCAGCGATTTCCGTTCCTGCTCCACTTGGGCAATGTCCTGCGAGATCTGCAGCAGGTTCGTTCTGATCTGCTGCAGCTCCTGCTCGTGCATCACTATGGTCTTCGACTGGGCGATATTTTGATTTTGCAGTGTCTGCAGCAACGATGTTGGGAATTGGGTAAAAGAAGTCCATGTGAAAGCTGAGACCAAATCTCCTACCTCGATTTCCCGCAGCAGCCGTTTAATGTGCTTGTTTTTGGTATCGATGTTGTGCAGCAGATGCTCCTGCTTATCCAGCTCGGACAGTGGATCCGAGGAGTCCTTGTCACTGGCCTCAGCCTGCTGGGCAGCCTGCTGCAGTTGTTGCTGCTGCTGCTTGATCTCCACGCCCAACTGTTTGAATGTATTTTGGAATAGTTTTTCGGGTCTTGTTGATTCCAAGACTCACCTCTTTCTTCTTCTGCTTTAGGGCATCTCGTTCATTCTCTAGCTTCTGGACCATGCGCTTCAGCTTCTCGTTTTCGTCCTGCAAACGTCGCTCACCGCTCTGGTCGTATTTCTGCGCCAGCTGACCTTTGTACTCCAAGACAGCCAGGGTCAGCTCCAGTGTCTTGCGCAGCGACCTCTTGGGCAGCTCCTCTATCGTCTCCGCCAGCTCCAGCAGCGTCTCGTATAGCTCGTGCTTTTGCCGGGCACTGAACTCGCGAAACCTTCGCACAGATACAGTCTCTGGTATCTCCATGCTGGCTCATGCCTGTATCCAACTCTCGTCTCGTGCAGCTTGCGTGCGTTTTGGCGGTTCGTTGCGTTCTGAGCGAGTGAAAATTTCTGATTTGCTGCAAAGTGCTCAAAGCGCTCGCTTTTCATTTTTCTACGTTCTTTTTTTTAATGCTTGTGCCAGCCGTTGTCATGACAGCTCGGTCAAAACAAACCCGCTCTCGGCTCTGGCGCTGGATCCGAGTCCCGGGGTTGGCCGCGCCGACTGACTCACGTGCTGGAACGGAAACGGGGGTGCCGGCGACTGGTAATCACCAGCGTTTGTTTTTGTTGGCATTTTGTTTTGCTACCAGCTTCGGTTGTTCTATGCATGTGTGTATAAAGTTTTTTGACAGGATAATTGCCCCCACAAATGGGCAATGCCCTGCCCGAGGTGGGGGCGTGGCTATAAACAATTGCAGGTAACCAGGAAAGTGTTAATTGGCAAAGTGTCAGTGTCAAAGCAATGCGCGAATTGAAAAACCATTTCGAATTAGAAACTGTTAGACCTGACGCTTCCTTTGTTCTTCGGGTGCTCCTCCGCCCGATCTCTGACAGCTCGTTGAGTTGGCGTAACAATCGCTGTACAGTTGTCAGATTTACATTTGTCCAAATAATTGAAACTAATGGCAAACGACTTCGGTTACCCCCAATTTGTGGATTCCCCCAATGTGAACAGTCGCACTTGCCCGCAATTCCCGAAAATTGAAATAATATTTTACATGCCAGTTGGGATAACAGCATAGACCTTTATTAGCTTGACACTGGAAATCTTGAAAGTTAAAGTAATAATTAGGATATAAGTAAAAGATTAATGAAATAATTTAATAATAATACAAAATGGAATATATAAGGTTGTCTTAACTTGCTAAGAGTATTATAACTTTGTCATGAAATATGTGACGCTTAAAGTGAGACGTTTCCGCCTCTATAAGTTATGTATATATATATTTCTATTAATGCTAGTCTCCGCTTTAAGGATCTTATTATTGCTACCGCATCACCACAGGTTCTTTTGACCTTGCATCAAGAAAATATTTTGGAATCCGCTGGATCGGACTACTATACTTTACAGTTGCCATAGGAATGTCTGGAAATATTAAGTTCTTGTAAGCACATTTTTTAGCTTTCCTATGCTCTTCACATCTCAGCAAACCCACATCATTATTTTTATTAAAAAAAAAAAATTGGGCGGTTAAATAGTTTAGGTATTGAAAACGTTTCCCTTTTTCAAGATATCTTTACCCTACTTTATGATATGATTGTCAAAGCTAAAAGCAATTTTTCGACATATGTCTACAAGGTTATTTTCTTCGTTGTCCCGAACATAGGCGTTTTTTCTGTAATTTTAAAACAATTTTCTTTTTTGTTCCATTTCAGACACACAAAGCGGGTAGATCATTCTTGTTGCTCTTGGCATCCAGTTGCAATAGCATGAACTCATAGTACACAAGCGTGGTCATCATCTAAATGGATAAAAATATAATTAAAGCAAACGAAAAGCAATTTAGAGCGAAACTCACTCCAAAGAAGCTTCTGCGTGTCAGGTGGAAAAGACCCAAGCCGGAGAGACCTATATACTGACTCCTTAGCTGATGGCTGAAACGCTGTACTTCCTCGGTCCAGTCATCTCTGGGCACCATAGACAGCACCGTAAGGGGTAGTAACGAGGCTTCGTGGATTCTGGAGGCGCACAAAAAGACGGCGCAGGTGCGGCCCAGCAAGAAGAGCAAACTATACCAGAAATATGCATAATTAACGGGATAGCGTAGTTTGCTGTAAAACATATTCGAACCTAAGAATATTTTCTAGAATGACTGTGAGTAAAAAGCTTACGTAAAAATAGTTAATAGCTTATTGCATATAAAGTAAATGTTATTTAAACAGGAGAGCAAGACAATATGCGATATATTTGTCTCAACCAGATCCATAAGTTCACATAGGAGTATGTGATGCATGCGTATTTCATGCCACACAGCATCAGACACATGCTGAGAGAATAACAAGAAAGATCAAAGAAAATGTATGGAATATTATATAGTACAGCTCTTACTTGATATGCGAGATCCACAACTCGGTTTGCCAACTGTTGAAAGCGTTCGGCCAAACCAATGCTTATCAAAATTATAAACATATCCATAAAATTCCAAATGAAAGTGAAGGTGCCATTCAAAAACTGAAATTCAAAACCAAATACTTAGCTAAGTTTCAGTTAAGTAGCAATATTTAAGCTACACTTACAAACGCATAGAATATAAAGATGGGATTGTAGGGCAACATTTCAAAAATATCCGCAAATTCTCTCTTCATATACCCGCTGAATGGTATATCCGTTACGTTCGTCTGACAATGCACAATTTGCATGCGATAATTATAATAGCTGGATGCATAATATAGCAAATGCTCAGCTATAAAAGTAACAACAGTTTAAAGAAGTTTAAATGCTGGCAAAATTGAAACTCACCCAATGTCAGGCAACCCAAAGAACATCCAGTAATAAGCAGTTTACGGCGTAGGCTATGATTCGTTGTTGCATAGGGTGGGAAAAGCATTATTATATCTATACCGCTCCAGGGAACTATTAAGCGGGTCCAGCAACGCGCCAAGCAAATGAAATTCAAACAGATTATCATTCCGCTGCTAAAATATACGACGCCCACTGTGGATGTCAATAAAAATATTAGATTAAAAGATGCATTTTGTACTCTTTCTAGAAAGTCTTTTGCTCTCTTTAATGTAGCCTCTATTTTCATAATGTCAAATCAAAATGATGTTGTATTGATAGTCCGTTCACAAATTCTGTTTATAGATAGAGTACACATTACACATCTACCAAGAGAGCCTTTCTATGCGATTTTCATGATCTTTAATATTCTGATTACATTAAACAAACTCCAATTTATTAGCTTCAATAAAGTTTATTTTATCTTACCAATATTCTTAGCATTAATACCGCCTTGAAACAGTTTTGTTGCTAAGCGGATTGTCTTCACACCACCCAACAGTAGAAAGATCACCGAGAAGCACGTGCCAGAAGAACGTAATTGAAATGTGACCATCTGAGGATTAGGACTTAGCACATTTGCTAAGGGCATCATGCCAAGAACCTGCGCCAGGCACAAATCTGTGAAATGACAAAAGTAAGATATTCCATTTTGATACCAGAAATTCTACCTACATGGCCTTATGGCACGATGAAACGTATCCAGTTGCTCCAAGTCCTGAACATTACTAGCACAGCGCCATTTTTGGTCAATTGCAGCACGTTGCCGCCGGCGCTTGGCCTTTTGTAGCCTCAAAATGTTTGGATTCCGTTCAAAAGAATGTTTACCCACAGCTTGCCGCATGTTGACTGAGTTTTGATTGCCGCGTTTATAGCTGCTTTTCCCACCAACTTCTAATTATTGTTTACAACAATGGACGCCCACACACGTGAGATAACTGGGGTTTTTTTTTACCTGTAATTTCCTTTTGCAGTGTGACCAGCACATTTTTAACTGGTGTCGTGCATAGACGCAGGCGCTCCGGTTCAGTGTCCAAATGGCCAGCAACATGGAAGGACAGCCAGGTTGGAAATTGCGGCACATGTTCGGCAAAAAGCCGAAACAGGTGGATGAAAATTCCCCAACCAAGCAAACAGACGAGGGGAATTTCGATTTCAATGTTATCAGCTGCGAGAAGCCAACAGATTATGCTAATCTAGAAATATTTCATCGCGCAGTTTATCCCAGTAAGTAAAAACTATGTTGTAAATGACCATTTACAGTGTTTATCCGTCGGTCCCCTCATATTTGGAATGAAGACTACTGTTGAGCTCCTTTAAGGATAGATCCAAAATATTGTCTGCCATTCTGGTGTCAAGTTATATTGGGTTTTTACTTCTTATTTTACAGTCATGTTGGTGGGTCAGTGTTTTGCGCTAATGCCTCTAACTGGCATATGGAACCCAAGTCCGCGTCCTGTACGTTTCCGATTCAAATCTCTGCAAATGATTGCGTCGCTGGTTTTCCTGGCGGCCTGTTCGGTGCTGACACTTGGCATGCTGAAGCATTTGCTAAGGATTGGCGTTACCGCGAACAACTTTGGTTGGTATTAGCCGCTGACAAGTTGATAAAAACTAATGCCATTTCCAATTTTGTATAGTGGGCCAGGTGTTTTTCACCTGTGTACAGTGCGCTTGCATTTTATTCATAGATTTGGCACGTCATTGGCCTCCACTTATACGCTACTGGACGCGCCAGGAGTTGGTCTTTACCAAGCCACCCTATGAGGTGCTCAAAAGAAACCTCAATCAGCGTGTGCGACAACCTGCTCTCATCATTATAGCCATGTCGCTGGGTAAGAACTTGGCTAAGGCTATTTGACAACTTGCCAATCAATTGTTTCGATTCCAGTTGAGCATGGTTTGTATCTTACCTCTGCTATTGTAAGCTACCAACAACGCATACATATCTGTTCCATAACTCACAATAGTACAGTAGTCGCATCCTTTGACGATTATATAAAAAACAACTATATATATGTGTTCCAAGTGCTGCCCTATAGCCGTTTCATAGCTGTCTATATTCTGGTAATTAGTATGTTTTTGTTTTTATTAATTTTTGAAATACTAATAGATTACTGTTCCTCATTTGCTATAGCTGGTAAATGGCACCTGCACTTTTATATGGAACTACATGGATCTTTTTATCATGATGATCAGCAAGGCCTTGGCCTATCGCTTTGAGCAAATTTCGAAGCGTATTTGCCGTCTGGAGCAAGAGAATCAGGTGCCGGAGACCACATTTATCGAAATACGCGAACACTATGTACGCATGTGTGAGCTACTGGAGCGTGTGGATAATGTTCTGTCCAGCATCATTCTATTATCCTGTGCGAATAACTTATATTTTATATGTTGTCAGCTGCTCAACATATTCAAGTGAGTGCTCCATTCAGCTTAGCAGTCAAGGAGTATCCTAAGATTAGGTTTTCCTTCTAGCAAATTGCGTTGGCCCATCAATTATGTATACTTCTGGTACTCCGTGCTGTATCTGGTGGGTCGCACAGCTTGTGTGTTCCTCACAGCAGCCACCATCAACGATGAATCGAAGACTGCGCTGACCGTGCTGCGTCGTGTGTCCAGCAAGAATTGGTGTGTGGAGGTGGAACGCCTGATATTCCAAATGTCCACGCAAACGGTGGCATTGTCCGGCAAGAAATTTTATTTTCTAACACGCAGGCTACTTTTTGGGGTGCGTATAAGTACAAAGTCTTACAGTTATTTTGTGCTAACAATACCTGGCTCCCCTCTATATAGATGGCCGGCACTATAGTTACCTACGAGCTGGTGTTGTTGCAATTCGATGAACCCAACCGTCGCAAAGGCTTGCTGCCCTTGTGCGCCTGAAAAATGGCAACAACAATTATAATTTGTCATGCCGGCTGACAGTCGCCCACAATTATCTTTAAATTATTGTAAATAGTAGCTGCTAAATTGTCACGCCCACTCATTGCCTGCACGTACACAGTATTTCGCTTAAGAGTTGGCAGTTAGTTTTTGGCCATGCCACAGGGCGAAACATTCCATCGCGCTGTCTCACAAGGTAACTACATGATTCAAGCTCTTGTTCGACAGAAATTAAATATTTTTTTATGCAGTGCTTTTTATCTCACAGATCTATGCACTGCTGCCCGTGAGTAATATACGGTCACAGCAGGTGCAGAATATTCAATTCAAATGGCTTAGTCCGCGCGCATTTTATTCGGCAATCATTTTAATACTCAACCTATGCGAATTTGGTGCCGTTTTAAATCATGTCGGCAAGGTTGGCGTCAACTTTCATACGTCCAGCTCGCTGGCCCTATATATTGTTTGCCTGCTGGAGCATATTTTCTTCTGGAGATTGGCATTTAACTGGCGCAGCATCATGAGCCACTGGCACCGTGTGGAACAGCTTTTTCTTAGCGTACCCTATCGCTTCTATGACGAGTACAAAATGAAGCGTCGCATCAACATTGTTTTCGGTCTGATCATGTCATCGGCCCTATGTGAGTCTTGTGGTATTATGTTATAGTATTATTATTGTCTGGAGTCTGTTGTTTTTGTAGTGGAGCATTGCCTGCTGTTGGCCAACTCTTTCCATTTGAGCAGTCTGGAGCGCACACAATGTAATATCAATGTCAGCTACCTGGAAATCACCTACAAATGGGAGCGTCCACATCTCTATTATTTACTACCCTATCATATCTGGTTGATGCCAATGCTTGAGGTGATTCTCACTGATTGCTTTAATTGGTCTGGCAATTATGGTCATGTTACTTGCAGTGGCTCAATCAGACTATTGCCTATCCGCGCTCCTTCACCGATTGCTTTCTCATGTGCATTGGCATTGGGCTGGCGGCGCGTTTTCATCAGTTGCATCGCCGCATTGCCGCCGTGCATAGAAAGGTGATGCCGGCCATATTTTGGACAGAGGTCCGCCATCATTATTTGGCATTAAAGCGTCTCGTGCGCCTGCTCGATGGAGCCGTTGCGCCACTGATGCTTTTGGCCTTTGGAAATAATATGTCATTCATATGCTTTCAGTTGTTCAACAGCTTCAAGTGAGTTGAAACCGTGCTTGATTATTAGTTTTCAGTTATGAGTCTTCTTTTATTGTTAACAGAAACATCGGTGTTGATCTTATTGTAATGCTGGCATTTTGGTACTCACTAATCTTTGCTATATTACGCACCACCTTAACTATATTTGTGGCATCTTCAATTCATGATTTTGAGCGCAAAATTATAACCGCACTACGTGATGTGCCCGCGAAGGCGTGGACTACAGAGGTAAGAGATCTATTTTAAATTATTTCAGCAAATTTTAATGCAGTCTGCGCTGGACAGGTGCAACGCTTCAGCGAGCAGCTGGGCAATGATATGACCGCATTATCTGGCAACGGCTTTTTCTATGTCACTCGTCAACTTGTGCTGTCCGTGAGTGGAGCAAAGAAAGTGCTTATAACTGGAACCGCTCTAAAGCCTCTAATCATTACAGATGGCCACGACAATAATCACTTATGAGCTCATGATATCGGATGTCATAAACCAAGCAACAATCCGGCAAAGAACCGTCTACTGCTAAATTAGTATATGCATATCAGAACCCAGGATCCTGTTTTATCTCATTTGCCAAGAAACCTACTACGAGATTTGTCTTACTTAACTACAAATACATAAATTATTTTCTGCTATAAGCCCCGTAGGAAACCCTGATATGATTCAGTATCTTTCTTAATGACTTGTTCATTTTCTTTGCTGTGAAAAACTACGAAAAGATTTACGTTGATAAACTCTAAAGCACTTTCAAATGTCATGCCCAACCATTCAGATCTTAATGGCAAACACGTTAATAAATTTCCAACATACGCCCTGTTGTACACATTCGCTCGTCGATTGCAATCACCGTTGAACTGAAAGAATTCTTTTCGCATGCCCATTTGCCAGTAAACAGCCAACAAATGAAGCAGAAACGACAGAGCTGCAATAAAAATACGCTCCAGCACGCCATTGGGCCTTGTAAGTTTACCCCATTAATTACCCACTTATATAAACTATATAATTAATGGTTAGGTTAAATGTAGTTAAATAAACATTGAGTATTGTTATTTGATCTGAGATTCAAGCAGACATTTTTTTTATTGTTATTGTTCTAATTATTGATATTGTTTTAAGTAAAGAATATAGTTAATCACCAAATTTAGACCTGGACTCGAAACCCTGCTTAAACTAATAAAATAATAATATAAAAGTATTCAAGTTATATAAATCTAATCAATTTTCCCAGTTCTGATTCTATCACAATTTCTTGGCGTGCTGCCCGTTTCCGGCGTCTGGCCCTGTTCTCCAGCTGAGAATGTGCGTTTTCGCTGGCTTACTCCGTCCTTTTTTCTAAGCATTGTCATATTGGCCTTTGCCATTTTGGACTGTATCCTCTCATCCAAAGTGGTCCTCGATCATGGCCTTAAAATCTACACCATCGGTAAGACAAATTCTGTTCGTATTAGTGGGAGTCCGTTTAACAATTATACTCTCCGTCAGGCTCGCTTAGCTTTAGCGTTATTTGCATTGCGTGCTTGGGCGTTTTCCTTTCCCTCTCGCGCCGCTGGCCGCATCTCATCCGACGGACAGCACAATGTGAGCAGGTTTTTCTGCAGCCTGGTTACGATTGCCATTTGGGCCGGCAATTTGGACGACGCCTGCGCCTTTGGGGCGTGGGCTTGCTGGTGGCCGCACTCTGCGAGCACTCCACGTATGTTGGTAGTGCTCTGTACAGTAATTACCAACAAATACACGAGTGCAAGCTGGACGTGGACTTTTGGATGAATTATTTCGAGAGGGAGCGTCAGGAGCTCTTCTCGGTTTTCCACTTCAATGTGCCACAAGCGCTTTTTATTGAATGGACCACACTGGCCATGACTTTTGTTTGGAATTTTGTGGATATATTTTTGATACTGATCAGTCGTAGTCTGCAGCTGCGCTTCCAGCAGATGCACTGGCGCATACGTCAACATGCCGGGAAACATATGTCCAGCGAGTTCTGGGAGCAGGTTCGCTATGATTTGCTGGATCTATGTGATTTGCTCAAACTGTACGATAAGGAGCTCTCTGGACTAGTTATCTTGGCCTGTGCACACAATATGTACTTCGTGTGTGTGCAAATCTATCATAGCTTTAAGTAATTTCTGCAGTTTGCATGTTAAGATCATATAAACTTATTCTTTTTATTCTTTCCAGGGCCAGGGGCAGCTTTATGGATGAGTTGTACTTCTGGTTCTGTCTGATCTACGTTATAACGCGAGTCTTAAATATGATGTTTGCTGCCTCTGCCATACCACAGGAAGCCCAGGAAATATCATATACACTCTTTGAGATACCAACAGAATATTGGTGTCTGGAGCTGTGGCGCATACAGGAAGTTATATTGACCAATACATTTGCCCTGAGCGGAAAAGGATACTTCTTTGTGACCAGGCGCCTAATATTTTCTGTAAGCTATAGTATTTTTATGACCAAAGATTTGTCTTATCCATTATTCTTCTGTTCTTACAGATGGCTGCCACTTTGATGGTCTATGAGCTGGTGCTAATCAATCAAATGAGCGGCTCTGAGGTGCAGAAGAGCATATGTAGTCGCGGCGCTGGTGCCTCCAAGAGCATTTTTTATTCATAGGTCCGCACTTAATCCTATTGCATATTTTATAAAGCTGTCGGCGAGCGAGCTGCAATTTGCACAAAGATTGTAAACAGATAAGCAAAACAGATATTCAATTGGCAGGGCTGGCATTAAAGAGAACCCCACCTTTCAGTTTTTTGCTTTGACTAATCGCAATGTAAACAAAAAATTTAAAAAACTGCAGCAGTTGGGCATGGGACATGGCGAGGACCATAGGTGATGCGACAAGACGGCGCAAAAGCGTGGCCCTCATCAATTTTTGGCGTGCGGCACGCGTTGACTGCGAGTAAGTCCAAATGTTATAAATAAAAACCTTTGGCTTAAGGACTGTTTATAGCACAAATATAAATGGTATAGAATCCAATGCCGGTTTTAAGCATAAATCCCGTGTTTGCTGGATCAGACGCAGGCCAAATGCAAATAAACTACATCAACGTAAGGTCAAAGAAGTCCTGCAACGCGCCAATCGAGACGATTATGTGCACAACGGTTCATTTTTGGAGGCCATCAAGCCAGGTAACTATCGAAATAATTAGGAGGAGTTCCCTTTAGGATGCGTAAACCTTGATGCTCAACCGATTTTAAGCACTGAAAGGAGTTCTATTATATTAACTAATCTTTCTCTTTAATATTTTCAACTGTGTTTTACAGTATTGATCATTGCCCAAGTTTTTGCTCTAATGCCTGTGCGCGGCATAACTTCAAAGCATGCGGAGGATTTGAGTTTTAGCTGGTTGAGCTTTCGCTCTTGTTATTCGATGATCGTCATCGTAGCCTTTGGTATTGTGTCTGGCTTCATGGCGCTCTTTGTCATGCGTATCAATTTCGATTTTGACTCGGTGGAAACTTTAATCTTCTATGGCTCTATATTCGCTATCTCTGTGGCTTTCTTTCAGCTGGCCACCAAATGGCCAGCAGTTGCCTTGGAGTGGCAGATGGTGGAGTCACAGCTGCCTAAATTGCATACAGAGAAAGAACGCTCTGCATTGGCCTTTCATATCAGAATGATTATAATGATAGCCATGATGTGCTCGCTGGGTGCGTAGTTGCAATATACTTATTAATTCAATTTTTCAAACTCTTTCTTTTTGCAGTGGAGCATATTTTGAGCATGCTGTCCAGCATTTATTATGTGAATGCCTGTCCTGTGCTGCCGAATCAGCCCATAAACAGCTATTTATTTATAAATCTTTCAATGTTTTTCACATTTGTCGACTACACTGCATTTCTGGGCTTAGTTGGAAAAGTGATCAATGTGCTGGCCACCTTTGCCTGGAGCTTCAATGATATATTCGTAATGGCCGTCAGCGTTTCTCTAGCGGCACGTTTCCGTCAGCTAAACGACTATATGCTCAGGGAAGCCAGATTGGTAAGACAGAATATTTCAGCATAGAAAGTGGAGATTCAACTTGTCTTTTTTCCTTTCAGCCCACTACCGTTGAATATTGGATTCAGTGCCGCATTAATTTTCGCAATCTTTGTAAACTCTGTTCAGTTCTGGATGATGCTATATCCATTATAACACTCTTATGCTTCAGCAATAATCTCTACTTTATATGCGGAAAGATCTTAAAGAGTCTGCAGTAAGTCTGAAATATGGATAACTATCGAAAATATTTATATGATTTTGTGTTTGATATAGGAAAAAGCCCTCTGCATCGCATACGGTATACTTTTGGTTCTCGCTGGGCTATTTACTATGTCGCACTTTAATACTCTCGCTTTATAGCGCCAGCGTTAATGATGAATCCAAGCGTCCATTGCGCATCTTTCATCTGGTACCCAGGCAGTTCTGGACCAGTGAGGTATCGGGGTTAACAATAAATATAAGAAACAAGGCTTAAATCGAACTGGCTAAAGCCCGGGACTCCAGTTTTTTTTGTCTATATGAACATTACTTTAAACCAAAACAGTTGCCAAGAAAACAGGGAGGCCGGAACCGGAAAAATATTTTTTTAAATGGTTTGGTTTCATATAAGAAGCTCTTAAGGGAGAGTTAGTTCTAAGCATTGGATTTATCTAACCATATTTGAAGAGACTTGTTTATGACAACATTTACAGTACATTTACATTTTAAAAACATATGCCAAACCGAACATTTTTATTGGACCCTGATTAAACGCGCTCCTTAATCAAATTCTGAATTACAGCTCAAGCGCTTTTCGGAGGAAGTGTACATGGATCAGGTGGCCTTAACTGGCATGAAATTCTTTCGGCTTACACGTGGCGTGGTCATAGCGGTAGGGTCTCTATAATTAATGATGCTATCTAAACTATTTATGCCATATAAATTTCTATTTATAATAACAACGGCGCAGGTGGCTGGCACTATAGTAACCTATGAGCTGATTTTGCTGCAGTTCAACAAGGAGGACAAAGTTAATGACTGCTACGAGAACTAAGCTCTCGAGCCCAACCAAAGTCCCACAATTATTCGTTTTATTCGCAAATGTCACGTTAAACTATCAATTATACATTAGTGCAAAACAACAGGCGTTTTTAATGTCAGGACAAGCGCTGCAAAGTTTGACTTTCAGTCCTTAAACTCAGTTGCGATTTGGCAGTGGTCCGAAAATGAGGTTCCTGCCCAAACTAGAGCTCAAATTCCGTCGCTGGAAAAAACTAAAGAAGTCGCCGCTTTTGCGTAAATTGGACATAATTTGTGAGAGGTATATATCTAAAAACTATGATGAAAAGAATTAATATTATCAAATATTATCTAGTGCTCGTAAGCGAACATTTCAGCAAACTCCCGATGCGGATTACGTAAAGCGTCTACAAACTGAATATGGCGAAAACAGCGGAAAGGGTATACTATACTATACTATATACTATACGATAAGTTGAGCAAATGTATTAATGAAACTATTCATGTCTAGAACTGAGCTACAAGCGGCGCGAACAATTCATGTACAATGGAAGTTTCCATGAGGCAGTCGGCGCGATTCTTCTGACTGCTCAATGGTTTGCCATGATGCCGGTGCGTGGCGTTACGGCCAAGCATCCAAGCAGCCTGAGCTTTTCGTGGCGCAATGTGCGCACCTGCTGCTGCCTGCTGTTCATCGTATCCATGCTGATAAATCTTAGCTTAACCATTTACAAAGTGTTAAACGGGTCCATTACTTTTAACAACGTCCGGCCCTTGATCTTCAAGAGCTGCATCTGTTTGGTCTGCGGTACGGCTCTCAACTTGGCACGAAAGTGGCCGGAATTGATGATGCACTGGGACGAAATCGAACAGGACCTGCCGCAATATCGGACGCAGCGTGAGAAACAGCGCATGGCGCATTCCATCAAAATGGTCATGTTTGTGGGCATGATGTTGTCCTTTGGTAAGTGGATTCCTAAGTCAACCTTAACTTGCAATTAATGTGTTGTCTATTCATCCTGTACAGCGGAACATTTGCTGAGCATGATTTCGGCGATAAATTATGCTTCATATTGCAATAAAACTGATGATCCCATAAGAAACTTCTTTCTGCTGACCAACGATGAGATTTTCTACATTTTTGACTACTCCACGCCGTTGGCGCTGTGGGGCAAATTGCAAAATGTTTACTCCACATTTATATGGAACTATATGGATATTTTAGTCATGATAGTCAGCATCGGGTTGGCATCCAAATTCCGTCAGCTAAATGACAATTTGCTAAAGTTCAAAGGCATGGTGAGTAAGGATTTCATTTCCAAAACATGTCTGTACATTTCTTTAACTACTTTATTTTAGCATATGGCTCCTTCTTACTGGTCGGAGAGGCGAGTACAATATCGAAATATATGCACGTTGTGCGGCAACATGGACAACGCAATTTCTCTTATAACTATGGTATCTTTCTCCAACAATCTTTACTTTATATGTGTGCAGCTGCTGCGAAGTCTCAAGTATGTATATGCATTTTTATACCCTTGTAGAGAGTTGACTATTGGCACTTAGAAGCACACATTTCTAAAGAATTATAATTTTGCCAGCATAAATTAAGTCGATATAGCCATGTCCGTCTGTCTGATATACAAAATAGTCTCTTTAAGTGTAAGGTCCATCGTCAGCAAGCTTTTCATAGGTTCGTTTTTCTGTTGCAGGCATTACACATGTCGGAACCGAGCGTATCGGGCGACTGTTTTGGATAGCTGCTATAGGAATGAATGCAAAGAAGTTAAGTTCTTGCATGAAAAATTTCTTTGTTGATTAATTAATTATCATTTTGTCAATACTGTATATTAAATAGTTCTATAGGGTGAATCCATCGAGAGAAGAGATGAAGCTTTTGCAAAAAGTATTTCGCTGAAAGTATTTAACTGAAGGACTTGTATGCAATAGTCGTAGGAACGAACCAAATGGGTTATTGTATGGAGAACTTTTCTGTTGCATACTTTACTATTACACTCTCCAGCACAAGCACTTTAAAGCCATAAAAACCTACTACGAGTATTTGATTTCTCTCGTGATATGCTAGAATTGTAACCTAATTGCTCTACAGCACCATGCCTTCGGTTGCTCATTCGGTCTACTTTTACTTCTCGCTCATATATCTAATTGGGCGCACTTTGGCTGTATCCTTGTATGCAGCCAGCGTGCACGATGAGTCGCGTCTCTCACTGCGTTATTTGCGCTGCGTGCCCAAGGATTCATGGTGCCCGGAAGTTAAACGCTTCGCCGAAGAGATTAGCAGCGATATGGTGGCTCTAAGTGGCATGAAGTTCTTTCATCTGACACGCAAACTGGTGCTCAGTGTGAGTGTCAAACGAGAATTATAAATATTATTTTCGCTATATATATTTTCCGATGATAACAGGTGGCTGGCACTATAGTCACCTATGAGCTGGTACTTATACAGTTCCACGAGGATCAGGACTTGTGGGATTGCGATCAAAGCAGCTATTCGTAATTGTTAGCATATTACATGTTTATTTTATAGACATTTAAATCAATATAAAATCGTGTTTTGCATTTTTTATTATCGTTGAAGCAATAAGGAAACCAACAAAAGATCGCTCCTTAATATCAATCGGTTACATGCTTAACTAATTACACCACTACGCTCATATTTTCGTGTATGTGTATGTGAGATTGTAGAGTTAAATATCAAATATTATTTTTCTTTTAATACAATGGTCACTAGTTCACTTACAGGCTAAACATCAATTTTTTGGATAGGGGGTGAGTAGTGACTGGCATGGGATCTCTTAGTGGTCGGTGTTTTGGTGCTTTCGATTGATAACGATTTGAGTATACAATGCAATCGATGCAAAAGCTTCACACAAAAAATTCAGCTAAATATTTTCAATTATAAACTCGCTTAACTTTAAATTCAGTTGAGTTGGGGTTTTTCTTTCGTAATATTTTATAGTATTTTGCTACGACAAAGAAGGTAACATGTACGGAAGTCTGGTGGTTTCAAGTTGCTTATTTACTTGTTAACATTTTAAAAAACCAGGCTTAAAATATGTATATGTTTTGTAGATTGTACGATTAGTTATGTGTATATGTATATATGGAACTAAAGCGGAAGCTACATGATCATGATTATCTATAAATATGCGTTTGTGGTCTGCTATAACTACATGGATTACGTCTGTCTGTGTTGGTTAGTACTACATACTTCATATGTGAGTTTTACTGCTGCTGGTAAAAGCAATCAAAAACTTGTTCGATGTTTGCTGAGCGCCGCCAATTACATTACATAGCACATAGCGGTTCAAAGTACATGGATTGAGAAGGCATAAATAAAGTATCACATAGATTGAGATCTTAAATTAAAGCATAGTGAAGAGTTCAAATAAATAAAAAAAAAACTGAGAGCAATATTAATTAAAGTAGACCTAACAAGGAATGCAGAAACAAAAATGCGAGCGTGTATGAATGTTGCGTTGCGAGTGAATCAAGCGTGAGCTAGCAGTTACCCAATAACTTAGTGGTACGAGTGTGCAGCTCAATGTCGCTTGGCATCATATTGCTTAACCTTCTCCGGTATGGCTGCCTTCTCAACAATCACATGCAGACCCAGTTCATCCAGAGATTTAACATAAACGAGCTTACGCCAGAATTTTGTGCTGTTTGTAGATAAATTGACATAAGTTAAAGACACGTAATAGATAGATAGCTGGCAAAGCTTATACCTGACAAATGGACGCGCCATCCAAACCAGGGATTTTATCCAAAAAGTGGGATGCACCAAATACATATGCTTCAGGCTCTTGCGCAAGCGACGATCCAGCAGTTGATAGCAACTAAAAAGTAAATGGTCAGTTTATAGTTTTTAAAATAGAAGCCATTTGTAGCGCTTACCGCTTGAGCCAAGGAAAGGGCGGCACATTTCGCCTGTTAGACCCGCCATGCAAATAAATGAGCACATAGTCATCTGTGACCAGCTGTTCGAGCGTCTTGACCACATACAGAAAAAGATTGTCCATGACATAGCTATAATCGGCACGGGATCTGTCTGGCAAATGGCAAGCGCAGAATATGACAATGGCATTCTGTCCACCGGCCTTCAGATAACCGCCATGAGAAAGCACACGTTTGTAGGGTTCAATGACACGCATGTCAATCTCGCGCGTGCGTCCATCAGGCAGCGTAATTTTTTGCCAATTGCGTGAATCGCGTCGTTCCTCATCCGCCGTATACTGTGGTAGCTCTGGGGAGGCTGCTACTGTAGCTGCTGTTGCTGCGGAGGCATGCGGTGTGGGTGTAGTGGTCATGCCAAAATCGTCCAGGTCGTCATCGTTGTCGGGCAACAACTCGGGACCCTCGCATTCGTCGTCATCATCGTCCTCGCCATCCAGGCCATCAATCAGGGAACTGGATGGGCTCAGCGATGCCAAATTATGCTCGATGTCTTCGTCATCGTCAAAACTATGATTTGATATGGAATCCAAGCTGGATATGTCCTCACCACCAGCTACCATCGAGCGTTTTGTTTTGCGCGACGCTTTGTTGTTTGCGTTCGGCAGCAGCGAAACCGACTGAAAATTTGACTCCACAGCAGCCAAATACTGTGACACATCCGCATCCGATTCGCTGCTCAGCAGATCAGGGCTATTCGCCCGCAGCAAGCTGACCTTGGCGTCGTGTGGTTTCACCCGCATATTGTTTTGTTGGTTCATTGTGTTCCGCACAGCTTCAGTTGCAGTCTGCTCCGTGCGCGGCACAACGTCGGGAAAATTCTTGCACTTGCCCAGAAATGGCTCCGAATCGGAGTCCGTGTTTGTGGGCGACATAAGTGGATGGCTATTTGCCAACGTGAGCGTGCTTTCCGTTATTTGACGTTGTGGCATTGTTTCGACTGGCAGCAGTAACTCCGGACGTAATATTCGGTTATCCAGCGTTGACAAGGTTTTGTTTTCGTTATTCTCACGCTCATCCTCGATCGTTTGCTGCGAGTCGGGGGTTGCTTTGTTTGGCATCGTGGCATTGGCTCGCTCATCAGCCAGCGGTGAAACGCCTGTCGAGTCCGTGGGCGTCTCCGAGATGTCCATTTTGCTCTCGGACTGCGAAGATTCCGACTCCGCGTAGTGTCCACTGCAGGCGCAATCGATTAGTCATCACATTCGTCACTGTATTTGCGTTTTGGGCTTACCTCATAGTTTTGTTGAGTTTGGCAAAGCTTTAGCGAGTTGTTAGCAATTCTGTAATGCCGTTCCGCATTCATTAATGTAGCGCATTCTTAAGAATAGGCATCACATCATTATCTTATTACAAAGTTTCACATCAGCACTTTGTTAGCAATCTGAGGGCTGATGCATAAACTCTATGTACGCTGGGCACACTTTTTACTTATCTTCTGACACATATCGATAGTTATGCAGCAAATAACAGAAACCAAATTTGAGATAACCATTGTTACGATTATTTAAAATACGACAGCGAGAACGTGAATTATAGAGAAATTTAAAATTAAGAAATAAGAAATGCTTTGCATTGTCTAAGTTGACTTTAAGTTAACATCAATGTTAAATGAATTCTGTTAAAGAGGAGTATTCATGTTAAGCACACAATAATAATATTAATCGGTGCGGCCGCCACACAGAACGTCGTGACACGATGATTGTGACTTATCGAATAGTTTATGTATATCGATTTGTCGCAGCGTTACCAATACTTTGTGCGTCGCAAAAGAAAAATAAGAAATATTGCATAAAATAGCTATGGAAAGCACGCAATCACATGTAACAATAACAAATAGTGCAGCATCTGCAAGTGTTCAAACCACCATGGCGCCTGTAGTTGCTTCGCACGCAGTAGACGTCCCTGCCACTGTCAGTGTGTCATCGACATCTGTCAACACTTGCGCAGCCCCAGCAACACCAACAATATCGACTGCAACAACAACAACGCCTTCGAGTAAAACTCCTATTCACAATTTGCCGATAGAGTTGCTACAAAACGACGCAGCAAAACGTCGAAGGTGAGTTTGACATTTTAAGTTAACTGTAAACTGTTTTATAACCCCATTCGCCGGATAGTTCCTCGCGTACAATCAAACGAAAACGCTTCGACGACGAAATTGTGGAATACAATCTTACAATACCAACGAGTCGCGGCGGTGCTGATGCTAACCGCTCCAATCGACCGCGCACAACTTCGCAAAACCTTCCTGGAATTGTGACGACATCAACTTTACTGCAATCGCCCTCTCCAACAGTAGTTGCTGTTACAGCAACAGAAACGCCTCAGACTCCAGGTGCAGCAGTGGAAACCTTACCTGGCACCCCGACTTTAGTCACTGCTGCAACTCCTGCGACGCCTTTAACGCCAGCAGCGCCCACGTTGCCGGTGCCCACAATTAGCACTCCCGTGCAGCAACCGCAACCAAAGCCAAAACCTGTTATGGAGCGTGCTCCAGCCACTGAACGTCGTCCGCGGCCCTCGCGTCCAGCAAGCAACAAAAAGCCTCGACGCAATGGCCGTCCGCTAGCACAGATGGCTACCAAGGATTTGGGTCGCTGGAAGCCAATTGATGACCTGGCGCTTGTTATTGGCATACAGCAAACAAATGATCTACGCATGATTCATCGCGGCGTAAAGTTCTCCTGCAAATTTACCCTGCAGGAGCTGCAGCAGCGCTGGTATGCCCTGCTGTACGAACCAGCCGTGTCGCGGATTGCGGTGTCCGCCATGCGTAATCTGCATCCAGAGATGGTGGAGTCTGTACAGCGCAAGGCGCTTTACAGCGTGCAGGAGGAAGACCTACTGGGAACCATTAAGAGTGTAAGTACTCAACTTTCCTGTATGCTGCATATGCTTGAACGTGTTCAACCTCAAACAGACGGAGACGCCAAAACTGGAGCAGTTCCAGGAGTTGCTTGATAAGAACGCCGGCATTTTCTATTGTGCACGTACTTCTAAATCGTTGCATAATCACTGGCTGCTGCTTAAGCAGTACTGCCTGCTGCCGGATCAAACGGTCAAGCCGCTGCAGGGTTCGGATCAGCCACTCAGCTTTTCAGATGCAGAGGATCAGCTTTTTGATCAGGATTTGCACGAGCCGCGCGATGAGGCACTGGAAATGGAATTGACGCTGGCCGACCGCCGCAACAAGCGCGATATACGTCTGCTGGAGAACGAGCTGTCACGTTGGGGTGTGCTGGTTGATTCAGTTTTGGGACCCACGGCGGCCAGCGAATTTGATAATCAAACGCTGGCCTGCCTTTGCGGACGCCTGGTGCGTTATCTAATGCGCTCCAAGGAGATAACATTTGGTCGTGAGGCCAAGGAGTGCGGTGTGGACGTTGATCTGTCCTTGGAGGGACCCGCTGCAAAGATTTCGCGTCGCCAAGGCACCATTAAGATGCGCAGTAATGGCGACTTTTTCATTGCCAATGAAGGCAAGCGCGCTATCTTCATTGATGGCATTCCGCTGCTGAATGGAAACAAGACACGACTGGCCCACAATTGCACTGTGGAAATCTCCGGACTGCGCTTTACATTTCTGGTGAACTATGAGCTAATCAATGCCATACGACAGGAGAGCGCCAAGACATCGAATCATTTAAATTAAGCATAGCCTAGTGTACATTTTAAACAACAGCAGCTGTCCCTCGCAAGGTAGGTCGCTGTTATGTATTTCTATTCTTAATCTCCAATAAGAAACAAGTTCTGGAATTATATGACATAAACAATGGCATAAACGAGTACTTACCGCCCACTTGAATGGCAAAGTCAATGTGCTCACACGCCTTCTATCGAGCGGAAGCAAGCAAAAAGTTCGCAATTAAGCAAGACGCCCAAACAATACCCTACCTAACGACATATTCACTTTTTTCTCATTTCTGATGTGTATATATTCCGATGCTAATATAATATCTTTTATAAAGGTGAAATATAGATAAAAGGGTCTGGCCAAATTTGGACATCTTGCTGCTTGATATTTTTAGAGCAGGAAATATGTCTTAAATGGCTAAAAGGGATTTGTTGTGGCTAAGTGCAAATGAAGTATAAAGGCTGAACTTGGCTTCTCCAATCCAAAAACATTATAAATATTCTTGGTCGGCATCAAAAGCGCATTCTCCATGACGCATGACATCATAAGAGAAATACCATATCGCAGCTTACTGAGGGTGTATTCTTGTTTGTGTTTTTGTTTTTGATGTATGTATGTACGAGAGGAAGTTGGGAACAGGGTATATCCTAATCGGGCACTCCCGACTTGAAAACATTTACATCTTTTTGTGCAAATATATGTAACAGGCAGAAAGTATATGTATTCTTGATAAGCATCAATTTTCGTGTCATTTTAGCTATGTCCGTCTGTCCACTCGTCCATCTATCCGTCCGTTCGTCCATCTATCCGTCCGTTCGTCCATCTATCCGTCCGTTCGTCCATCTGTCCGTCCGTTCGTCCATCTGTCCGTCCGTTCGTCTATCTATCCGTCCGTTCGTCCATCTTTCCGTCCGTTCGTCCATCTATTCGTCCGTCCGTTGCTCCATCTATCCGTCCGTCCGTTGGTCCATCTATCCGTCCGTTCGTCCATCTATCCCTTCGTCCGTCCGTTCGTCCATCTATTCGTCCGTCCGTTGCTTCATCTATCCGTCCGTCCGTTGGTCCATCTATCCGTCCGTTCGTCCATCCGTCCATTTGTCCGTCCGTTCGACCGTCTATCCGTCCGTTCGTCCATCTGTCCTTACGTTCGACCGTCTACCCGTCCATTCTCAGGTCCTCCTAGTGCCCATACAGTACGATCTTATTTCCGATAATCTATAATCAGCCGCGTTCAAAAATAAATACTTTTTGACATGTGCTGCATTAGGTGTTGGTAGAAAAGGTTGCAAGGTATACCATAGTCGGGTACTTCCGACTAGAGTTTTTCACTTGTTTTGTCTGGTTTGACACAAATTGTAACAGGATCGATTTAAATTGCTGGTCAGTTCTATGCAGCCCACACAGTTGGCGCGGTTTGAGTCAAGAACTCCTACGCAGTTAGTTGGCAACTTCAGGCCAAGAACAACGACAAATTTGAGTTCTTGGGGCGCTATGTCATTTGGCTAATTTGCGACTGAGTCGTAAGCTGCTATTAATTACAGCGCAGCTTTTGAAAGTATCTATCCCAAAACCATTCTATTCTATTCGCATCAGTCAGCCGAAACAAAAACAAAAAAAAAAAGAAGCAATTCTGCGCTTTTGGGAATTTCTGATTAACGTTGAGACACGCGATTGTTTAAAGTTCTTCTCATATGTAATTAGAAATAACAAAATTTAAATAAAGTCTTTTGTCCAATTACACAATTGTACTTGCTAAAATATGTATTTAAAAGTTGGCTAAGTGTTACCCATTGTTCTGACTAAAAATGCTGGTCAACCTTTGTGAATTAAGCTAATGCCAACCAATTTACAGCTCGAGATGCCAACTGATAGGCAACTGCATCATTTGTTGGCTCGGTTCAGGCGTCTGCCAAATCATAATTAATTATTGTGTGGCTGACAACACCTGTAACATAATATAGAAATTAGCCGAAACAAAGGGAACATGGAGAAAGTTCGATGACTTTCGGCAGCTGCGACGACCTTTCTTCGTCGCTGTCCTCTCGCCGCCTCTTCAATGGTCTTTAAGCCGCATTGTTGACACTATAAACTAATAAGCTGTCGGCCATGCTCAGCGGCACTGAGGTGTCCGAGCCAATCTGAGCCAGAGTCAAGTCGGAGTCCAGAGTCTGGGATTTTATCTCCGTCCGGGCTGTCGGTTGCAGGCATATTAAAATATAATTAATTGTTGTCACTGTCAATAAAAAGTCAATTTGTTTTCGATAGCTCGAATTTTTAACTTGGAATTTGGCTACGCTTCTTCTGCTTCTTCTTCAGCAGCTTCTTTGTAGATCTTTTGCTTTGGTTCAACAACAATTCGAACGTTGATTTGTGTGCATTTTTTGTGGCCAAAATCATCAGCTGCTTTCTTTTTGCCCAAGTTAGCTGATGATGCGAGAACCAACTAATGAAGTTTGGCTTTGTCTTCTTTTTGCTGTTGTTGTTGTTGCTTTCTTAACCTTTTTTTTTTTTTTGTTATTACATATTATATCTTGTGCTGCCGCCTTTGTGCAGTTCAGCGAACTTTTGTTGTTGCGATGCTTCGCTGATGTCGCAACTGCTAAAATTAGTCTGAATTTTCTAAACTATTTTTTTGTTCTTTTGCTTTTTCTATTAGCGTAGGTCATGCTGTTTTTTCTTTTTTCTCCATGATTAATTTATTTATTTATTATTTTTGCCTATTTCTACTAACTGTTAGTCTGTTAGCCAAAGGTAGTTTTGCATCAAATTCTGGAGCGTTGGCGATTTTTTAATGCTCGTTATAAGTTGGTTCTGTTCATGCGTGGGTGCGAGAGATTTTGGCTCTATTTTTTGTGGGGCACAACTTTCACAGCCCAAATTGCTTTTTGGATTAGCTGCATGAGGTCATATTAATGCCCTGGATTTGAGGCAGTCTCGATTGATTTGCCACCTGCACCTTTCAGTTGACATAACACTATTATTATCTTATGCACTACAACGAAGCTTACATAAAAATAAAACAACAAAGCTGTCAAAGTCAGATCGCGTGAACAGTTCGTGACTTTGCTGGAATAATATTGAAAAACTATATGTGAACCATACTTTCTTCCGAGACAATGCTGTAGCTTTAATACCCTTTAAAATTTGTATTTTATATATAATCTGCAAATGGCTGAGATCCAGTCTGAAACACATTAATAACTGGTATAGATTGAAAACCCATCGTTCTGTGAACACATTTAATCTCTATCTCATCAGAAAAAGTCTCGATTGCTTCCATTATTAATTCTGTGTAGATTTCCACTTGTTTTTTTTTTAGCGATTCGATGCTGAGATTAGGTATAACCTCTTGGTATCTTTTAGGGTATCAGCAAGTGTATGGAAAGTTTAAACAAATAGATTACAAATTGACAAATTTGCCGAATCGATATGCAGAAATCAAAGCGTCAGTCCAATTGGAAACGTTGTCGTCCCGTGTTACATTGAACAGCTTGGCCGTAAGCGTTTTATTTCCTCTGTGCGTTTGTGTACAGTGTGCGCCATAAGTGCACGCACATGGATTATACAATGCGCAAATACGATAACATTTATAATACTTCATAGTTGGTCAGTTGTTTCTGTTGTTGTTACTTTGTATTAATTTTGCTAATCGCGTTTCGATCAATTTCATTTCAATTGTCAAACGCACAGCAATGTCATGGACGGCGGGAGCTTGGGGGCGTAACCAGCTGAGTGACACTTTTGGACAGCATGTCGTATGCGTCATGTTAGATATTTAAATTATGTTTCGCTTGTAACGCATAAATAAACCAACTACTCGAATTTGTTCCGCATTGCCTTTTATTTTGGTTGTTGCTCATACGCACTGAGGTACGCGCGTCTGCGAGCTGCATGCTAATAAGATAAACTTCGTTAGTTTATTGAAGCGAATTGCAAATATATTTCGGGCTGTGAGCAGCGCATAGCCTTAGATTTATTAAATGTTTAGGTTTTTTCCGTGTGATTTAGTGTGGAGAAAAATGATATCATGGCAAAGGCAATGTGTGACGTCACTGTTAGCAGCGCCCACAATATTGCAAGCATTAAAGGCGCAGTTAGCCACGAGTCGATTCGTAGTCTGTATCCATATGAAATTGGTGGCAACTCAAGCGCCAGCCAGCGGCAACAAGTTGAACCGATCGACAGCCTTGAAATGCGTCGCTCCATTAGACAGCGACAGCGACAGCGACTTCGACTGTCAGTCACCCACGCACTCCAGAGCCAACAATAACAACAATAACAACAGCAACAGCAATAACAGTTCCAACAACAATAAACGCACTGGCGCCAAAATCAACTATGCTCAATTTGCAAACTCCACTTTGGAGCTTAAGAGCTCAAGTTGTTATTTGAGCCGAGAGATCTTTTTCTGCAGACAAATAATTACAACGATTTTGATTTTTTAATTAAATCAAGCCACAAGGCAATGCCTGATTGTGGCTATACACATAACACAGATATATGTTTCTTATGTGGCCGTAGTTTTATGACACATGTGGGCGCCATATTCCTTAATGGATTATTTATATCATAATTTTATCTATTTTTATAGCGAATTAATGCCGCTGACTCAAATGTGAGTTGTTTATTGATTTGTAAAATTCAAAAATGTGTTTGTTTTTATCTTATTTTTATAAATATTGTTTATATCAAGTTTGCATTAAATAATGCACTGTAATCATAATCATCTATGTAAAACTGCTGCCTGAGAGGGGCAGAGGAAAATAAAAGGAATGCAATTGAAGGATCCTTTTTTTGTTGTTTACAATTCTATTTCACTTCCTCTTTTTTAAGAAATAACGTAAGATAGATGAGTTATGAACACGCACTTCCAGGTTTTCGGTACACTCATCTCGCTTGCTGAAAAATTGAGAGTTAAGTTCTATGTTAAATGTGATTCATCGATTCACCAAAATCCGGTGGGTGCAAACGTGGGTTCCAAATAAAAGGGCTGATGTTTGGTTCAAAACTCACAAATACTGAAACAGATTGCCGGCCAATACTAAAATGTATGTGCATATATGTGTAAAGGTATGAATGTTCACCTTTACCAGACACAGACCCAGTTTACTTACCTTTTGCAATATGCAAGAAATTTAGTACTAAATATTGCCCTATTATGCGCTTCTCATAAATTCATTATGTTAAGTTTTAATTAGCTTTGTGTAATATTATACTCAACTGAGCCATATATCTTCCTCTCATTTTATTCCTTATTCTCTTGTATTTTTGGGTAACTATATTTTCATATGATTATATTGATTTATAAATTGGAACATATTTTGAGTAAATTCCGATCTGTGCACGATTTGTTTCATAGGGTTTTCAATTAAGGTTTGCCCGTCAATCAAGAGCTTTGCAATACATTCAAAACCAGCTTCAACTTAACCGTCTCCTGTCAAAAATTTAAGCTAAAAGAGAGCAAAATGACTTCAAAAGTTTAAATATCAAGGCAACTTGAGCCCAAGATAAACCCTTTCTAAATTTAAAAGCAAACGAGGTCTCGAGTATTGCACTTGAATTTGTGGCATCAAATCAATAAAATTAAATACAGCATGCAATCTAAATGTTGAACTTTGTAACAGAACACGGCAACATGTGCAGCAATTAACTTATAATTATATCAGTGAATGGAATCTATATTTAAATAGAATCTATATAAATTATATTGAAAATAAACCTAGACACAATCCATTTGGCGCGTGACTGTTGCGGGTGGTCAGAATGCGTACCGAAACTGAAATCGGATTACGGTCTGAAAGTGTCCAAGAGTGCTCATAAAGTAGATTACTTCTAACAGCCATGACAACAGACAGTTTTACAGCGTCATGCCCTAGACACTCCTCCCCTCCCCTCACCTGTGCCACCTTCAGTTAGCTGCAGGCAGCCCCAGTAGTCAGCCGCTACGCTTTGTGGCATTCGCCGGCGAGCCGATACGAACCGAACTGTGAAACGAAGTGCGCCGAAACGTTTGGCGTTTTGAATTTGAAGTTTTTTAAACCGTCAACTAAACGCGCTGCGATTTTAGTGGCAGTCGAGCCAGCTGAGTAAACGGACGTGCGAGACGCTGCAAACAGCATTGACAGATCGGGCCAACCAACCCATATATATATATATTATTGTTGGACGAGCATCGGAAGTGCAGGCGTCGGCGGAACCAATTATATTCGAAAAGGCAGAAATTCGACTATTATCGGCGCATCTTTAGGCGCAATTTTTCGTTCGACTTCAACGCGTTCTGGCGTGATGTGGCTGGCAGTTGCAGCAGCACCAAGAGAAGCCTCTGCCAAAAATCGTGTATACGCACTGTTATCTTTTGTTTAAAATTAAACAAAAACAAATCGTTTGGTGCAGCAACCGTGTAAAATACAGCGACAAATTAATATTTATTTGTGTAAACTAAGTGTATTTTTAATTGTTGTGCGTCGGTCGTAAGCTGTAACAAGGAACATCGAATAAATCATGTGGCTGCAGAGCGTACATTTGGTGAGTGTAACGTTTGGGTTGTATTGTTTGTTAGACAAGTGGGCAGACAGCTCTAAAATGTGTACGTTGAAATCGGTTCAATCAAAACCAGCGAATATCAGCGTTTGTCAGTTAACAAAACTTGAAATACATTATGTGTGCGTGTGTAAAAGTTATCAACAAAACGATTTACATTGCATCGGCATTGATCTCTTCGCATCGATTTTTGTTCTTCAACAAATATGTTGCCAAATAGCTAACGGGATCTGTGGGTCTCTCACGTGCCAGCGCCTGTAGGCCGTGCAGCAAAATGGGCGCAACCGTCTGATCCAGATACTGGCGCACTGTCAGCGAGTTGAGATCCGGACGAGGTTTCCGGCAAACGGGCAGCGCAGTTGGCATCTCGAGAGGCAAGACAGAAGGATCCTTCAATGAGGACTTTATGGGAGCAAAGTCGTCCGACATTATTTCTATTCTTTCTGTTTGTTATACAACTAATTAACCTTGTTAAATATCTAAACGAGAGACGTAAAATTACGCTTGCTCTTACCCAAAATATATGTATATAATTTTTATATCTGATCAATTTTGGTGTATTTTTTTTCTGTATAAATTACCGCTGCAGATGTGTCTGCTTTAAATATTGTAACACGAATGCCTATTGTTTCAGAATAGGTACAAAAAATAAGCTGCAAGGCCTACTTTTGTAATAAAACTCTATACAATTTCGTTGCCTGCTTTGATTCCCGAAAAGTTGCACATTTAAGCATGTTTTATCACAGCTTTAGTTTTAGGCATTTAAAATGCTAATTTTATGACACTTTTAAATGGTTCCCACAATTTCATTTTCTATTCAAACAACAGCACTAAATCTATCAAAGCCTTTTGTTTCGAACAGCAATCGGTTGCAAGATTTAGGAGCAATGTTGCACTTACGTTGATTTATTGTTAGCTGGGAAATTGCGACTAGCAACAACTTGAGACATATTTTTAATTGGTTGAATTACTGAAATTCTGCAAAACTTTGACGTCTATGTATATTTCCGTTATTATTTCTAATTGTGCAATTAACAAAGTTAACACCAAATTGTATTTGGCAATTGGGAATTAAACAAATTTTCGTAAGCTGTCAAACGAAAGACTTAAGCAACAAACTTGTTGCAAAGCAATTCTAAGCTGCCTCAACTTCGAAACAAGTGTTAAATCTTGTTAAATTAATGGCAACTCAACATTGTAAAATATGTTTTAGAGCCGTGCTTAGCATAGAATATGTGCCAATATATTTTCTCACTTGATGCGAAAATGCCACCTGTTTTTGTTGTGCTTAACGCTTATACAAAACTTTTGAATAATTTATGGACATATGTACTACTCATACAACAAATATGCAAAAGTTTAGGAAAAAAAAAACAAAACAAACGATTAACACAATTTTTTTCGCTATAGACAAACCTGTAGCTTTTGACCCATATTAGAGTTGGCTAGTTAAATTTGAATATAAAAAGAATTCAGTGAATAGGCAAAACGTTATTTCTTAACAGTTAGCGGGCAAATAGGTGTGTGTAGGCAGGGGGCAACAAATCAATCTGAAAAACATGAAAATTTCAACAAAAATCGTGCATTAGATTTTTCGGTTGTTCACTTTTTTTTTCGTTTTATGTTTCGTTTATGATGAGGCAGCAGCGGCTTCGGGCATCCCCCGATATTGATCTCGGAACTGTGTAAACGTGTTAGATGCACAGCACAGAAAGATTGAGTGAAGAAAAATGAAATAACAATATGAAATACAAGGCAGAGGTCACTGGCATCGTCTTAAAAAAAAAAACTAGCGCCAAGACAACGAAGATTCAATGTTGATAATTATGATGATGATGATGAGTACGCGATGATGATTATGTAGCTTTTAGATGGATGTATTGTGTATGTTTAAAGATATTTTATAGCGTGCGAAGTTTTAGCTGTAGTGGGCAGGCAGCACGTGGGCAGGGCAGACCTTTCCCTTGAAAGGTAACAAATCAAATAAATTGCAGCAGCAATTGCGTAAATTGGTAACGCGTTCAAGACAAGTCCGAGACAAGTCCAAGACAGGTCCAAGACAAGCACTAAAAATGCAAATGAGCAGCTGTAAAAGCCAAAGCAAAGCAAAAAAAATACATATTTATATGTGTGCGTCTGTATATATGAAATAGGGCAGCAAAATTAGCGCAACTGAATTAATTAACAACTGTAGCATTTGTTTTTACTGTGGATTACTTACCTGACCTTGAGAGAGATAGCAGCCGGCACAGACAGACAAGCAATCAGCTTGAGTGACAGCCATAAATTGAAAAAAAAAAGTTCGCTGTTTCGGTCTAGCAATTATGTAAGCTCTCCCAAAACTGGACCTGTTGATGCCCAGACCAGATTGAATTTGCTCATTTCTCATTTCTGCATTTCACAATTACATATTATTAAATATCATTTCAAATGTAACATGCCGCCAAAGCAGCTCGCGGGCAAATCAATGAACATGTTTTTTTTTTTTTGGCCATTTTGTTTTGCATTTTACGCATAAATTATTTGCCCATAAATTTTGTGCACGCCCCTAATGAACTTTGATTAAATCGCATTTCATGAATAGCAAAAAAGCCCACGAGAAATAACAGCAACATTTTTAATTTTTTTTTTTTGTAACAATGATGCTGCAATTTCATTTTATTAACTGACCTAAATGCCCAAAGTGCGGCTAATGTGAACTGGGTAAAAGAAATTCCAAGGAATGCCGCCCAAAATTTGAATTCTAATTAGTTGGTTCACACGCCTGAGCTATAAATGGAATTTCTCACTTAACTCAATTTGCTGCACAATATTTGTGGCCAATTTGCAAAATTTTAATGGTGCTTCGAAACAAATTAGCCACAGCTGCTGTTTAAATGTTTATGGCTACGTTCGAATGCATGAACTGCGGGCCTTCTGAGTAATGTGGGAAGATGACGCGCATGGAGTCGACATTTTTGGGTGATTTGTGGCGCACTTTAATGATGTTTATTTTTTGCTACCTAATATGGCTGAGATCGTCAAAAGTGTGAAGAAAATGCTACCGGTTTCAAAGGACAATTTGAATAATTAAAAGGTATTTGTTACGATGCAGCGCGCTGTCAAATATTGATAATTTATGGTATTTACTTAATGTTAAAATTAGAAAATATATATATGGCGAGCATCTATTATCGGTGGCGTATTTTTCCCAGCTTAAATGAAAACAATGCTCTGCTCTTATTTAGCACCTAAGTAGGTGTTACATGCTTTCAGTAAGTGTCAGCTTCACAATTGGGCTTAATAGACTATACAATGCTCTATTTACAGTGTTGAGAGCCTTCTTTGATTATGACTTCAAACTGTAACTTTAAAGCAGCGACTGTTAAACGACGACCTCAGGCAATGTGATTTGTTTAGGCCTCAGACAGATTCCTCAGCTAAAGTTAATGGCAATATGTCTGTTTGAGACACTGATAAACTAAGGTACTTAATGTATACAGCTTCAAATCTTGAAAAACAAAATGCATTCATACTGTCAGAGTGCCGCGCAGTAAGATGGAGGTGGCAAAACATCAGTAAAATATTTTTCACTTTGTAAACAAAGCACAACAAGCTGTAGATGTACTTTGTACCTTGTTTCATATTTTCATATTTTCTTTGGGCATAATTTTTCATTACTATGCCGTCTGCGACACACGCCTTGTCACACTTCTGTCTCAAATATTTCAGCTAGAACAACTGACAGCGCCAACTGGAAGTTGTTAGAGTGCAAACAAGACAACCACGCGCTATGATAATGTGCCACTATACCGATGCTGTGTCCCTGTGCCCACACAGTGCCACAGTGTCGCCAGTTTGCCGGGCTTTGTTGGGTTTGTTTATCAAGAAGTTATATCCAAGGTGCAGCCCACGCAATCACAAATGAGTCTCAAATACAATGGGAATGATCAAAGTGAACAGCCATTAAAACTATGCCAAAGTCACGCTGTCGTTGGCCCTTTGGAAAGTAAAAAAAGAAATAAAAAAAAAAATACATCCATTATCACACATTGCATTTGGCTAGCAAATAGTTTGGCGTTTTAATTAAAGGCTTTGGAATTTGTCGCGGCAGCATTTTGCATAAAATGCAACATTGCTGACACAATTCACGGCTCGGCGCCCAGCCCACAGCAACAGCAATAGCAATAGCAGAGCGGAGCTTGTAAGTGCTGCCAAAATGCTTTTCCCACATGGCGTTATCTGTGAGATACTCATACGTGCATGCATATGAAGTTCATTTACACGCAGCTCATACACCAAGCGGCAAAGCAGCCCACGCCCACGCCCCCACCCCCGGCCGAGCTGGCCAATTACTTTGATTAATTTGGCTTTTGGTGGGCAAAAGCAAAAACCTAAATAGGTAAAACGAAAAAAAAAATGAAACACCATTGCATAGCTTCAGATGTACATTGACGCCACTAAGTAACCCACAGCAATTATGAAATACGTTTTAGCATTTTAGCCAGGCACCGAAAGAAGCATCCAACTTGGCCAAACAATGCAAGTTGCATGCCCGCACGCCGCTGACAATGAAAAAAGCTTTATACAACACGAAATTAAAACACGATCGCACATTGAACATGGCCAAAAACAACAAACACAAAAAGCAACAACAATTGTAGCTATGCCAAGTTGCATTGGGCCATGTCGAAGCTGAGCTGAATTTAATTCAATATTGTTGTTGTTGCTGTCGTTGTTATTGTTGTTGTTTCTCTTCGTGCAACTTTCACTCTCTTGTGGGGCCGAATGTCACGAGCGCGTTTGGGTTTCTTTGGCCACAAAATGCTGGACTTGGACTGTAACCCACTTGGAACTGTGACAAATTGGAGCAGCCAAGTGCAGCGCCAAAAATGCGGAAACTTTGCAAAATGCAAATTTTCCAACTGGCAGCAAAGCGCCAAGGCGACAAAGCGTTGATGCGTTGAAGCGTTGAAACGCTGAAGAATCGGCACACATAACAAAAGACTTAGGGCACGAACTTGGCAAGCCAATGCGGGCAACGCATTGGGGCGTGCAAGTGTCACTTTTGACAGCTTTTGCTACACATTTGGCCGGTGCTGTTTGTGATTTATGGCAATTTATTGACTACTTGGCTTTCTATTGCTTATGATCCATCAGTCAAAGTCAAATTTTCCTGGCCTCCAAATTGTTTATGAGCATTTCTGATGAGTCAGCGCTGAGCGCTGTGCAAATTTATATGCCTTTTGGGCATTCGTTAAGAGTTGACTTCATAGCTGGCTGCCTAATTACAAACGACCTTCATGCAATTCGCAGATTTAGCAGCAAACAACAGACTTCATGGTGGGCACCCAAAGATTACAAAACATTTCACGCCTCGACAAATTTTGGGCGCGCCACCTACAATTCTAGCTGTGTTATGCAATCTAATTTAATAAGCCGCTACAGCTACACGACAATATTCATAATCATAAAGCCAATGTCATTAAAAAAATAAAAAAAAAAAAGTGAAATGTTTCGGAAGCGCGTGAAAAACTTAACAGCCTACGTGAGCTGCCCAATTGATTCTTGTGAGCGGCGTTGCTGACCTTGTCGCCGTGACGAAAACGCATTAAAGTCATAATAATGTTTATGGCTTATTATTTATGATGCATGTACAATTGTTTAACAGCCTGCCTGGGCATTTGCATGCCAATTGCATAATTACAAAGCTCTCGAATTCTATTCTATATATCTGCCAGATGTGTATTTGTATGCATGACCGACACGCACGTCAAAGCTGCATTGTGGGAGGAAGCCTGCTCATTCGGAGTGGAACAATCACATTTCACTCATAATATTTACAGAGTAATACACGTAAGCGCCATTTCACACCTCATGCATGCCAAAAGTATTACGCATTTGGCATGTTCCACAAAAATGGCTAAAAGTGATGCAATGCCGCCAGCAACAGCGACAAATGCAAGTCAAACTGTCTGAATGCAGTTTTGTTCGCAATTTGTTAAATGATCTATGGCAGTCGCGCAGTATCACACAAAAACAGCAAAAACTACTCTGTAAGAAAATAGTTACATTTGGCATGACGAAATTTGTATGCCCTTACAAGAGAGGAAGAGAGTAATTGCTTATGCTGTTATGCAAGATAATTAAAATATTATGTGATACATCAAATCAATAGAAATATTTTCAAATTTTGACTTTTTAACACTATGCGACAAATTGTTACAAACTAAGTCTCAGATTAATTCCTCTTGAAAGACATAACTAGTTAGTTAAAGACAATGGGAAAGCATAAGAAAGCTAGTATAAAAAATAAAATGCACTTTAATTATTTAAATTCCATGTGAAGCTTTTACAGAGTATTTGCATGTTTACTCTAGTATTCAAACAAGTTATTTGAATGCTGCAGTTGAGTGCGTCGGATGTGATTTTATTTATAGAAATTAGCAATTGTGTAGTCGAGTAGCAACAGCTGCCAAATGCAAATATCGTTAACTGGGTTACCCAAAAGGGGTTGTCCAATGCAGCGGCAACTGCGCTGCGGGCCACGTTTGAATTGGACTAACAAGCCAGGCGGACATTGGCTCAAAGGCGCGTGGTTTGCGGTGCTAGTTTTGAAAACATGTTCCAACAGATCAAACACCAACACACATTGTGTATACTTATTTTATTATTATTTAATTTGGCAAATCATATTTTCAATTGAAATTCTAGCAAATTGTATAGCTGTGCAGAGTTGTTTGTGCCTCAAGAAACAGGAAATGGCAGCACCAAAAACGTTGACCAAATAAGGCAATCAATTTTTTTTTTTGCAGTTACGAAAAGTCAATCAACTAACGAAATTTAATACAATTTTATAGCAGCAGTTTTTTTTTTTGTATTTCGTTTCTGTTGCTGCTCCCACAGCAATTTGGGCTATGCTCGAAATTTGACGGCGGTCTGTCAGTAGCTCAAAAGCTCACATAAGAGACCCTCTGCTGTGCTTGGTGTGGGTGTCTCGCCGAAATGTGTAATCCAATAGGCAACCAGAGACACTCGATCAGTCGTTCAGTTATTGTTGCTGTGGCGCACATTCTCGGAATTGATTGTGTCTAATGAAATGTTTCATTAATCGCCGCATATTAATATAGAATTTCATGTTCGTAATGCTGTTGAGGGGGCATTGTTTTTGTGGAATTTGAGCAATTAGAAATTATTATTTGCTTCATTGCCTTGCTCGAATGTCAGCGATATGTTGTTGTCAAACAATAAAAAACATGGGAGATACACGTTTTTGGATAAACATATGGTTAATCTAATCATTGTGGTCTATGACTAACAAACTAGTAACGAACTGATTCCCATACGCCTACAAACCCACAAAAACCACAAACAAAAAAAAAAAACAATAGCAACAGCAACAGCTTTGCATGCCATGTAACAAGTTTGTGTCTTAAGTCTTTCGTTTTGCTTGCGCTACACTTACCCATTTGCTTAGCTTTGATTTCAATGTTTTGGCATATTTAAAGACGGAAGCGGCTAAAAATTGTAATTAACATGATTATACATATGTTTATCAGTCTATCCGAGTAGACCGTGTGGGTTTGTCGACATTTTCTATGAACATATATATAGGAAAAGGCCAGCACGCAGCCTAACATAATGTGAAAGGCTCGTCGTCATCGCTATGGGTGTGCTTCATTAGCGCCTTGTTTTAATCAATTTGAAAAAGTTTGCTGGTAGAATGTCTGCTATTCACAAAATCGCAAGCTGCGCTACACATTTTCAGATCATTTATCATAATTTTTATTGTATTTATTTATTTCTTTTTTTTTTTTTTTGTTTTGCTTTAATTTAATAAATTTAGAGCGCTCGCATAAATATAATTGAAGTGATTTTTAATTAAAAACTCCAATAGTGAAGGTCAGCTTGGAGCAAGGCAAGGTGCCCTCGAGGGCACGCAGAGACAAATAGATAGTTGCTCAGGTATTTGGTTGCTTAGGCTCTCACAAACTGCAGCTTGAACATTTGTAGAATTTTTGGGGTCAGGCAGCCAATTGGGCGAATATCTTTTGTTGGCTTGCGCTGCGTAAATTACGCTAAAAATGTTGCGCAACAGTTGACGGGCTTTGTTACCATTTCGTCCAGCAGCAATAACAATAACGTAAACAAAAAGCGCCGCTTAAATTGCGCGCCAAGAAAAACGTGATTTTCCACTTTTGTTTTTTTTTTTTTTGTTGGTTTTGTTTTTAAAGGCGCGCTCGCACCCAAAAGGAGTCGTTTGACTCTTGTGATTCTCACGTAACCGATGCCAGCAACATGCGGCAAACAGCCGGCAACATCAGCATCCACAACAACAGTCGCAACATAAACACATGCTGCCAGGCTGCGGCTGGAGCCAACACCAACGCCAACCGGTTAAGTAACTGCGACGCCAATTTGGACTAAAATTTCTTCCAGATCTTTGCTCTCGAAGTTGAAGTGATCGTTGTTGTTGGCGTTGGTGTTGTTGTTGCTGTTGCTGGCACTTTTACTCTCGTTGCTGCCACTGCCACTGCTGTCCGTCTGCAGTTGTTTGCCCCATAACGGAAATGGCCATAATAATTTTTGCACAATTTATTACATTGCGTTAGCAAATGAAATAAATTTTCTGGCTGTGCAATTTGCTGTTGATTGACTGCGACGTTTATGCCCAAATATTTAAATTGATTGTAATTGAATGGGAAGGGGACTCTAGAAAGTGGCAAAGTATTTTGGGCATGTGTGTATTTAATATGTATACCTTTTTTGAGCGGAACATGCATGATGTAATCCATTTCTGGCTGATTTGCATGATTGATGGCTGCATTTGTATTTTTAAGGCATGAGATGACTTTGTTAGCAGTCACTCAGAAATTTAATTTATCAAAATGCTAAGTTAAAGTTAGGTAAATAATGCTAAAGAATAAGCTTAATTCTGTGAACACTTCGCACAGCAGAAAAGTTAAACGTCGTGTACAGCCGCAGTTTCAGTTCAGTAAATCCAAAAATGAACGCCACAAATAATTTGAACTCAATTTTTTCTAAGACTTATTATTATTTACAACCCACAAGCAGAAAAGCGAAGTCTGTCATAAGGTGACACCTTAAAATATACAAACAATAATTAATTAAAGCACAATAAATAAAACGACAGGCGAATGCGAATACCCGATTTGTAAACAAAAAATTATAATAAAAATGTCAGCTACAGCAACATTAGCTTAATTGAAGCGCACAAACCACAATTCGCCTACAGAGCCGACGAGGCGACGCGCCCGGTCGCTGCCCCCTCACCAAGTGGCTGTTGCGAGTAGTTTATGACTGCACGCTAAAATAATTGAAGCGTTAATGTGATTACGTGCGGGTGGCGGCATTAGAATAATTGGCAAAAGAATCTCAATGCGGCAATCGAGCCAAATGGCAAGAGAATGACAACCTTGTCCCTGAATTGGCATTAACACCTATGCGCCACGTAGCGTACACGCAACGTGCGCTCTAACCGGTTCGACTCGGCGCGGTGCGGTTGTTGCAACTGCAAATACACTTTCACATGCCACATTTCCGTTCCAACGTGTTGTGCGTTGTGCAACAGTTGCGGTTGCATCTCTTCATGTCACCTTGACTCTGAAACTGAAGTGCAACGATGACTACTCGTTTTAGCCAAATTGCTACCTGTTGGCATTTCGTCCAATAGTTGTTGTGGCCGGCCCCCAAATGGCCACGTTTGGCCAAATCCAGATGCATTTCTAGCTGCCGCTATCAGCGGATATGCGGCTATTGCCACATGCCATTAGTCAAAATACAAGTGGCAAGTGGCAAGTAGCAAGTAGCAAGTAGCAAGTAGCAAGTACCAAGTGGCAAGTTACTGACCTCTTGTCGACAATTTTCATTGCAGCTGGCATTGGTAGCGTTGGCAGCCGCCTCGTGGGGTGATGCGAGTCAAAGTCAGTACCATATTCAAACGGATGAGGGACCCGAGAGGTACTTCCGCTTTCAGACCGACAATGGACAATTCCGCAAGGAGAAACGTCTGCAGGACGGCACAGTCATTGGTAAGTCCATAATAAGACAAAAATATTATAGACTAGTTGTTGGTTAGTTAAATGAATATTTTTTCAATTGATGCAAGGGAAACTCCAACTCATTTGTGTGGACTTCCGCCAAAATTAATTATATTTAGTTTGGGTCCATCTGTTTTTTATCAAATATTCACATTCTGTTTTGTTCTTTTTCTTAGGCACAGAGGCCTGGATCGATGCTGCTGGCTTTTTGCGACAGAAGGATTACATAGCCGATAAGGAGGGATATCGTATTCTCAAATCAAAGACTATATTTGTGGGCCAAGGCAGGGGCATTGAGGTAACTATAAAATGACTTACGATTCCCAAAAACCCTACAGCTCTAACTCCCCGTTTACAGGAGGCCATAAAGTCCACAAAATCGGCGCCGGCTCAGTCTGGCATTTTGGTTGATGGTAATGTGGGTGGCAATAGCGTAGCCGGCGGCTATAGAAAACATGGATATGGCTATAGCAGCACTACTTCAACGACCACACCCCCACCGCCACTTTATGAGCCACCAAATTTGGCCACTGCAAATCTGGGCTCAGGTGTAGGTAAGCTCAACTATTTGCCACCCGAACAGGCAGCCAAGATACAGCCACAAACGCAGCTGGGATTTGATCACTATCCGGACGAGTTGCCCCGAGCACGGGACCAGCTGCTAAGCGGCAAGGTGCACATTCAGCCGAATGCGGAGGCCATTGATGACATCAATGCAATTAATGTATACGATGAGGAAGCAGATCATGGCTTTGCGCCGGGTCGTTTCGCCTCTGTTATTGGCTCAACGACGCCTCGTCCGCCCGTGCTGCTGTCTGCGCCCGCGTTATCCATGCTGCCACCTTTGAGCTCGCAGCGCAGACGTCTCCGACCACGCCCAACGGCTATCGGCATAGTGCCCACAACACCTGCGCCCATTGCGGCTCAGGCTCCCTTTGGTTACTCCACGCCTGCGCCATTCGCTGCGCCGCCCTCCGTTTCCGATGCAAGCTATCACTATGCGCCCACAGCCACGCCCACCAGCAATGGATATGGTTACTATGCGCCCAACTTACCGCTGGATGTGAATGCTTTGGATGCTTCTTTGCTGCCACCATTGCCAGATCGGGCGTACCGCCGACGTCTGCGTCCGCTGCACAGCAACAATCTGGATGCCTCAGACTATGATGGTGTAAGTGTGACGCGCAATGGTTTCCGCTATGTGTTGCCCAAGCAGTATCATGAGGAAGCCCAGGTGGATGACAAGCGAGCGGGTAGCTTTGGCTACGTAGATCCCTTCGGCATACGCCGCGTCGTCTACTACAATGCATCGCCAGGGCGTGGCTTTGTGCATCGCAATAACAATCAGTATGTGGGTGCGAATGGAGCGCCCTACGATGATCCCGGTCCAGCGCAGTTGGTGAACGAGTAAACGTGATAGGAACGATTAAACGATTGCAAAGTGTCCTTGTCGTAGCGCTAGCGGTGCTACAATTAATCCATACCAATACACAAACTGCCCCACTTCCCTCACAAAGCACCAAAACTAACCGAACATCCTCAATTTTAGAAAGAAGTGACTAGCGCCATGTGAGGGGTGTTCACTCATTGAAAGCACTATTTCATATGGGAAATTTTCAACAGCGTTGAGCAGTGAATACCCTTAATGGAAAGGCATGACTTATTAATCTGTACATAACCACGCTTTAAACATTTTCACAAACACACGACAAAACAAACAAAACGAATATCTGTGTTAATTAATTTAATACTTATATATATATTTATAACATAATTTATGAATAATCCATTGTGCAATTTGCGCCTAGATTTAGTTAGACTAAAGTTTCATTAGGAACTTTCACGGTTGTGCAGTGCTCGCAGCTGTTGTAAAGTGAAAATAGTTTCATTTATTAATCTTGCCATATTAACAACACGTAAATAAACACTTAACAAACACACACTAAAAGCCACCCACACACTCACATACACACACACACACACACACACACACACACACACACAAACAAGCACACCTAGAATTAAAATCAGTGAGTAATTTCTTTGCCAATAGTTGTTCATTATGCAAATCACAAAAGCAAAGTATATATACATATATATATTTTTTTCGTGTTGCGATTCGATTTCTTTTAAATGAGCACCCGTTGCCAAGAAGTTATAGCAATAACAATCTATTGTATAATATTTAGCTTTACAAAAGTAAATAAAATATTGTATTATGGTAATTTAAGTACATTCGCTCAATCGCGTTTTTGATGTCTTTTTCGCATCGATCCTCGCTTGCCAGTGCACAGCCGCTGCAGGAAGTACAGGAGCAGCAAAGGAATCATAACTAGAACTGCGAGCACATCTAGGGAATGCGTTTGAAAATAATTCAATTCCCTAGCTGCTGAGTATAAGTGAACGGGATCGGGCTGGCGTAGCAAATACTCTACCCACCACACGGCCAGCTCCAAGGGGGGCACTGGATTATCTCGCAGGCGTTGGGATCGCATTTTCATAGCCTGCGAGTAACGCTTGTTCTCGGCGACCTCTCGTACGGCGGAGACCAGCTGTTCCGTAGTCATATTCAAATAGTTAACCTGAACAGCGCCACCAGCATTAATGGTTTGAATGAGATTCTACAACGGACGGGCATTGATAAAACGTTTAAAAAAAAATAATTTGGGCGATTCGCTTACGCGATATTGATCCAGGAATAAGGGAATTCCAACGATGGGTACACCATGCCATGTAGCCTCCTGTATGCTTAATCCACCGCAGTGTGAGATAAACAAAGTCAAAGATTTATGAGCTGGGAAAGGACAAGGAACATTTATAATCACATTGAACACATTAATCACATTATATCATAATTAAGACTTACACAAAATATCCCGTTGTGGCAGAAAATCCTTAACCAAAACGTTATCCGGCATTTGAACATCCTTCAAGTACTGCTCGTCGAATTTCCAAATGAAATTATAGTCAGGCAGTTGCCTAAAAGCCTCTACAATTTCCAGCTTAAGCGTCCTATCCACATTCTCTGGATGCATATTGGTGCCCAGCGAAAAGAATATGGCCCCACGTTTTCCACGTCTCATAAATTGATCCAAGTCGGCGGGCAAGGGCTTGCCCTGACTGCCTTGCAGACCGCCTACCTCTACAACAGTCGGCGGTAAAGCTTCCACATAATCCGTGGCTGGATGTGAGTTGACCAGTGAAATCTTCGTAAGCTTCGCCAGCTTCGACAGGGACGGCATTTCCGGTCCAAAAAAGGGTCGCATTATCTCATCCAGCTGGGGATAGTAATACAGTCGGCGATAGCTAATCATGAAAGCTAAATTAAATAAATAATTTATATCAGAAATGCATTTAATACCCACATTGTATCGGCGGCAAATATGAGCGTGTTATCCAAACGCTCCAAAAAGCTCATTTTCTGATTATACAGAGTCGAGAAATAGGGTGTCAGTGCCGGAAAATAGTGATTGGACATGAAATCGAGTGTTATGGGCGCATTGTGAAAGGCCGTAACGCCAATTATGGGAGGATAGCGAAACTTGTGCGCAAACCCGAGCAAATATGGACCCAGCGTGTAGTCATTGATAATCAGATCAAACTGAAATTCATCCGGATAGTCCAGCAGCTGCAGCAGCCCCTGAGAGGCGGCTATATATTTCGCCGTTTTCAAGCCAAAATCGTAAGTTTGCGTTATGGTCTCATAGTCGCCAATACCAATAAACGAGTTTATATCAACTTTATCGCCACTCTCTTTATAGAAATCATAGGCGCGTTCCAGATAGATATAGCTTACGTTGCCTGGCACCCTATCCTCGGGCCGTGGCAAATTCACGGATAGTATGGTCATATTATGACCCCGTTCTGCCAGTTCATACAGCAGCACACTATTCCTATAAACAGACGAGGGAGATTCTCTTCGTTAGCTTGCTGCAATGAGGATTATATTCCAATTTCATGTTCTCACCAAATATGATGACTGTGCGAGGTCATGCCCATCAATGCTAATATATTCGCACCCATTGCCCAGCCGAGCAGCTGCGTCACAATTATAATACCAATGCCAAGATACTGTACGTTGCACATCTCGTCGACTACTGACTGGTTGCCAGGTATGTTTCCATGTTTTTATAGCATTTTTATTTGACTGTCTGACTAGTAGATACCCCGGTCTCAAGAATAATCATACGTTCAAATAACACACTCTAAGCCCGAATATAATAAAAACACCCAAAGATAAATATTAATTAAAACACAAATGGTACGGCTTGACAATGGCTACCTATATATGTATATGCATATGCATGATGCTATAATTATGCTCTGAACATTTTGGAAAGATCGGTCTTATGAAAAAAAAGTGGCCAGTGGTTTGTGCTTGCGTCTGTGGTTTTGTTTTTAAGGGCGTTGGATTTAGGGTATATCCTAGTCGGGCACTCTCAACTGGAGCGCTTTTGTTTTTATTTTTGTTTATATTGGTTATCGTAACGTAACCTCATAATCACGTTCGAATTGATAGCTGTTATCAGCTTAGGCGCTTGCTGCTTCTAGTAGGTGGCTTTGCCAAACCCGTCATTCTCTCTATTTGAATACATTGCCCATTCGTTTTTTGTTATTTATTTTGAGAGCACACAATTCTCTTCGGCACACAGCTCTTAAACAAAAATATAAGTGTATAGAATAGACTTTTTATCGGTTGGTTTACGTAGCGTCGATAACTGCAATCTTATCACGGCCGGTGAAACCATCGGTGATTCAGTGGCTCGTTTGAAGTGCAACGGATTGGTAATATGAAGACTGTTGCGGCATTGTTGCTGCTGCTGTTTTGCCACGAGTGGCAGCAGTTGAATGCTGCCAGTATTTTGTGCCTTGTTGGCACGGCGCAGCATTATAATCCTGGCTGGACAAAGCCATTCTTTGAGGCTCTCGCCGGCCGTGGCCATTCACTGACAGTCATAGGAACACAACCCGATCTAGGGCTTCCGCACATACGGCAAATTTTCTTGCCGAACGAACACGATGTGGTCAAAAAGCATTATACAAACGATATGGGTCACTATCGACAGCACTGGGACATAAAGCAGCTGTTGATCTGGTATGAGGCGCTGCTGGGCGGCTGCCGCTCCATAATTGAGGCAAATTTTTACAAAACATTTGACATGACGGCTTTGAAATATGATTTGATTATCTATGATGCCACCTTCTCGATGGATTGTCTGCTCGCCACGCTGCCACGGTATCGATCGGTGCCCGTGCTGGGCCTGAGTGGAGGCAAATTCACAACGGATCTCATTGATGTTGTTCAGGGCGAGGATACGATTAGTGCGGCAACCATACCTCATTTTATCGGTCGGCTGCCTATAACAATGAACTACTGGCAGCGCATACAGAACCATGTCATGTACCTGGCCGAATCATTGTAAGTGAAATATTTAAATTCTACAGTTGCAGACGTTCAGACGGACGTTCATCATTGCAACCCCTTATTTTACTGGTTGCAGCATTCATTGGGCCGTGGTTCAACCCGTTCTAAATGGTATGCTGGAAAGCGGGTTTTCCTCAATTAAAGCTCAGGTCGTGTTACTTAATACTCATCCCGTTCTGGATTATGTGCAAAATATGCCACCAAACGTTATAGAGGTGGGTGGCCTGCATATTCGAGCCGAGTCGGAACCATTGCCCTTCAGTTTGCAAGAATTTATTGAGCGCTTCTCCGAGGGGATTGTCTACATAAATCTGCCGCATATTGAGCTCATGTACGGACTGGGCCTAAAAGCCGTTGAATCAATGATCAAGGAGTTCAGTCAGCTTGGTTTTCTCTGGAATGTGAACAATCTTAAAGACCTCCAGCTCTCAGAGAGTTTATACAATTTAAGAGCCATCAATGTGTTTGACAATATGCAGCAGAACATATTGGGTTAGTAACAAACCCAATTCAGCTCGGATCGCGTCTCAATTTCCGTATTCTCTTACAGCTCAATCTAATGTAAAGGCATTTCTGACCCATGGTGATAGCTTTGGTATCCAGGAAGCTATCTACAATGCAGTGCCGATCATTGCGCTGCCCTTGCTCATGGATCAAATTAATGTATGTGGGGGATAATCGAAATAAGATTAGCGTATTTAAAAATTCCTTATTCCATCATAGAACGCCGAACGTGTGCAGGAGCGTTATTTGGGAGTTTGCATGTCGGCTAAGAACTTCAGCGTGGACAGTTTCTCCGCAGCTCTTAAGAAAATAATTCGTGAGGAAATCTATGTGGAAGAACTGCGGCAGGCACAGCTCAATTTCCGCACGCGCCAAGCGAAACCCGTGGACTTGGCTATTTGGTATGCCGAGCAATTGGTTAGCCAGCCGGATATCTTCAAACAGTTATCGGTTCCGGAATCTTCTCAACGTTCCTATTTTGTTAGGAAATCTTTGGATGTTTTGTCTCTACCTTTTCTATTTTTCCTCTTCTTTTTTGCCAATGTTGTACTCGCGATTTTACAAAGCATTGTGACTGACAATGAAAAGAAAACGGCAAAGCAAGTTAAAAAGTTAAATGGAATAGGGAAAGAGCAGAGTTCCGACAAAGAACAGAAAGAAGATTAACTTCTTTTTTAAGATTAAGAGTATGGGTGCTATAACGTTAAAATAAGTAAAGTGGAAAAACAAGAAATTTTAAAAACAAAGTGCTAACAATAAATCAACCTTGGCAATGCGTAAAACTTTGTACGAAACAGAACTCTTATTTCGATGAGAAACCTTCATAGAAAAGCGAATCTTTGAAATCGAACGTCCGTTCATGAAGATAGAAATGGGCGTAAAAAATGCTATAAAAATGTAAAAGTTTTGTTTCGTTCCTAAAAGTATGCAGCAGTTCTTTTAGTGGTATTGGAAACTCTGAAATAAATTTAAGAGCACGCTTGAGACTCTCATCAGGTAGCCGAATGGTTTTAAGTCGGCAGCTCAGGTAAACACGACTCGCACGCGAGCAGATTGTTGAATTTAGTTACCTTTCTGGCGACAAGTGAAACAAAAGAAGGCGCAATAAATAGAATACCCAAATGCCTGCCCATAATAAAAATGTGCCTCTCAGTATCTTTCGAGAATTGGCAGCGAACGGAACGGAACGGATCGGCGCAGAATGTTGTCGAAGCTATTGAAAATCTGCTGCAACTCGAGGCAATGCACATTTGCCAAGCCATTTGAGGCAATGCCAGGGCCACGAGGTCCGCTTGGATTAGGCAATCTGTATAACTATATGCCCGGCATAGGTACCTACTCCTGGCTGCAGCTGCACAAGGCCGGGCAGGACAAGTACGAAAAGTACGGCTCTATTGTGAGAGAGACCATGGTGCCGGGTCAGGATATTGTCTGGCTGTACGATCCCAAGGACATAGCGACTCTGCTCAACGAACGTGACTGTCCGCAGCGACGCAGTCACCTGGCCCTGGCCCAGTATCGCAAGCAGCGACCGCATCTTTACAAGACAACGGGACTACTGCCCACAAATGGACCAGACTGGTGGCGCCTGCGATCGCAGCTGCAAAAGGAGCTGAGCGCGCCGAAAAGTGTACGCAGCTTTGTGGGCGAGGTGGATGCGGTGACACAAGAGTTTTTAACATTTCTGGAGCAGTCAGCCGGAGTTGGAAGTGTCATCGATATGCTTCCTAAGCTAACCAGACTCAATTTGGAACGTGAGAGAAGTTAACCCAATGCTTATTCCATTATTAAACAACTTTCGATTCGTTAGTGACCTGCCTGTTGACCTTTGGAGCACGCATTCAATCCTTTTCGCCGGAGGAGCAGCACTCGCACTCGCGTTCCACACGACTGATGCATGCCGCCGAAACCACAAACAGCTGCATATTGCCTACAGATCAGGGTCTGCAGCTGTGGCGCTTTATAGAGACTCCAAGCTATCGCAAGTTGCGTCACGCCCAATCTTATATGGAAAGTGTCGCCCTACAGCTGCTTGAACAGAATGTGCAGGCAGGCACTAGCCGATCCTCGCTGATTACCAGCTACATTCAGAATCCTCAACTTGATCGCATGGATGTTGTGGGCACAGCGGCTGATTTGCTGTTGGCTGGCATTGATACCACGTCGTATGCCTCCGCATTTCTGCTCTACCATGTCGCACGTCATCCAGATGTGCAACAGAAATTGCACCAAGAGGCGCTCAAGGTGCTACCCAATGCCCAGCAGTCTCTCAGCGCCGATGCTCTGCGCACGGACATTACCTATACGCGGGCAGTGCTAAAGGAGTCGCTGCGCCTGAATCCAATTTCCATTGGATTCGGCCGTGTGCTCAATCAGGATACCGTCCTGAGTGGCTATTTTGTGCCCAAGGGGGTAGGTTTTTGGCGACTGTCTAGAAGTAAATGTTATATAAACACTTTTCGTTAGACCACCGTGGTTACACAGAATATGGTTGCTTGCCGTCAGCCCCAGCATTTTCCCAATCCGCTGCGTTTCCAGCCCGATCGTTGGCTGCAGCAACGCAATGCTCTGAATCCTTATCTGGTGTTACCCTTTGGACACGGCATGCGCGCCTGCATAGCTCGTCGCCTGGCCGAACAGAATATGCACGTCTTGCTCTTAAGGGTGAGTATTTTCCTCAACTCGATCATCTCTGCGCTCCAGCGAGCAGTTCAAGTATTTGCAATTCAAAACGTTTCCCTTGGACACAGCTGCTGCGCAAGTACGAGCTCATCTGGCGCGGCCGGACGGATGTTGACTTGGATATTGTCACTCTGCTGATCAATAAACCGAATGCGCCGGTGCTGATCGAGCTTAGATCGCGTTCCGCGTGATTTGCAATTCAAAACCGAAGCACCGAGTGGCGTTCACTTTTAGTACATTGTTATTTACCTTAAAAAATGAAGTTTAAATAAACTTTTATTTAGGAAATTTATAATTAGTGTAAATCATATGACTAGTATTTTTTTTTTATTTTTTAAATATATTTTATTAGTTATAATTGAAAGGCTGCGGGTGTTTTGGTCTACAAGTACTACAAAAAAGATCTCCATGTTTGATACAATAAAATAGAAAGGCAAACGCATGAAATTCTTTATATGGTGCCAAAATTGCTTTAGAATGGTTTCGCATAATACTCGAAAGTAGGTGTGTGTTGTATGTGTGTGTGTGTGTGTGGGTGTGTGTGTGCTCTGGCCACAGGTCTATCACTGTCTGTAAGGGCCACAAAATCAAGTTGCGATTCGTTTTAGATTAATTTCAATGTAGTTTTTATAATTGTTAAGTTTTTTATTTAATATATTATTTTTCGTGAATTTCTGTTGCAGTGACAGCCCCAGGCATTAGCTTATATATAATTGTGTAATATCTATATGTCTTTTTATAGTTATATGCAATATGTTGTGTGTGTATATGGTTTTAAAAAAGTTCCTAACCTGTTGGCCCACTAAAAGCCCCATTCTGCTTCTGATCCTAAACCGACTGTAAGCCTAACCGAGGTACAGTTATGCCTTGTAAGCTCAACTCTATTGAGAACCTAACCACTAAACCACTATTGTTTCACTATAATCAGACTGCTGCAGGTCAAGGTCAAGGTCAAGGTCAAGTCAAAAATATGTGTGTCGCTTATGCTGATCCTGCTGTTTCTAACTCTTCTGCTACTCTGTACTATTCTGTTGTATCCTGTTCTAACCTATAAGGACTTTGGTTGTTTGCCGCACTAAACGCTAGGATGATTGATTGGTGAAAAAATACATGTACATCTAGATTTCTCTGGAGTTGACCCGGCTGCGGGAACACTTATGGATCTTGCTTTTGAAAAAATACTATATATATATATACGTTTTCTCAAGATTAGATTTCAGTATCAGGTCGAGGGTCCTACCAACTACTCGTATGGCTATCGTTGAATATGTTGCATGTTCTGTGTCTGTTGAAGGTTGAGATATGAGTTAACTGCACAGTTCTGCCGCCATGCTTTATAGCTCCAGCAGCAGAACCTCCTCATGCTAGAGTATATTCAGCAGCGATGAGTCCATCATGCGATCATCGTACAGACTCAGGGTTTTTGAGGCGCGCGCCTTGCGCACCGATGCCGGCACATCGCCGGGCGTTTTCACCCGCTCGCTGGGATCGCGCAGTCGTTCGCTGCTGCCACGCCCACTAAATACCTCACGAAAGACTTCTAGACTGTGCTGGCGGCGCAACTGCTGCTCCGTGGGCGGCGGCATATTGCTGCCACTGTTGCTGGTCACCAGCAGCGAATTTGTGCGCAGATGTCCAGGACGCCGCTTTGGTGCTCGGGAGCCAGACAATGTGTGCAGCTCGTTCTCGTTTATGTTGTTGTTGTTGTTGCCGTTGCTGTTAATGTGTTTGATGAGGCTGCTGGACAGCGAGCGGGGCACAATGTGAGCTGGGGTGCCAGTACGCTGCTCCGCGCTGCGCAGCTGCAGCAGATTGGCTCTGTCCAGTGGCGGCAAGGGACTCAAGTCAAGGTTGTTGGGTCGCCTCAGTCCGCTTGCCAAATGTGCATTGTCCATGCCCTTCAGCGCAGCCACAAGATTTGACTTCTCTTCGCCCAATTGCAGCTGCCGGCACAGCTCCTCGGCGTGCTCCTTGCGGAAGAGTTTCTTGTGAATCAAGGCGCGCACGCCATGCCAGCCGCGCAGCATATGATCCGTGTTTTGTTGTTTGGGAAAGCCCTGACCCAAGCTGGAGTTCTGCTTTTGCTGATGGCTGGCAATGAGCTCTTCCACGCTCACATCATGCTCCAGGCAAGACAGACTCTGCTCCTGCTGCGGCTGGAAGCTGTGCTTTTTACTGCGCTCCACCAGCACAGGCGGCGTACGCAACGGCTGCGGCGCCAGATTGCGCTCCTGGCAGGGATTGCGGCCCTGCAGATGGGGCTGCAGCTGGGGCTGTGCATAGTTTAAGTGGTTCTTTTCTGTGGGAAACTGTTGATTCGGTGGCGGTTGCAGCAAACCACCGTCGGCTGACGTAAGCTGCGTCTGTGCCTGATGCACTGCAGCCGCAGTGGTTGTGGTGTTGCTGATTGAGCTAACAGGTAGCTGGGCCGTAGGCAACGCCAGGTTGTTGGTATTAAGCAGCGGACTAGCCGGCTGTGCCTGCAGCCGTGGACGCAGACTAGACATCTCCTGCATGCGCTCTTCGGCACAAAGCGATGTTAGCCTGGCATCTGCATCGTGGTCCCAACAATCCTCGCAGGTATCGCGCACAAGCTTGGCGGCTGCGCCACCGCCCCAGCCCGCTGGGAACAGCGGACGCGCCTTGTGACGCACCACCAATGCCTGCATCTGGTCGAAACTGGGATGCGGACCCACTTCCTGTTCGTAGGGCGCCTTATAAGGCGGCGTCAGCTGGCCAGGCGCATAGAATTCGGAGCAGCGTGTGGCCACCTCCCACAGCACTAGGCCTAGTGCGTACACATCCATTTGTTTAAGCGATGTCTCACAGTCCCGCAAATTGACTGCACCCTCGAGCAGCTCCGGCGCCATGTAACGCAGCGTGCCCACCTCATTGATGCTCTTGGTCTCGGCCATGGCCACCTCACCCTTGTACTCATACTTTGAACCGAATACCTTCAGTGCAAATCCAAAGTCCGCTATGCAGCAGCTGAGATCTGCCTGCACCAGAACATTGCGCGAGTTGAGATCCCGATGGGCCACGCAGGGCTTGTGCAGCTCACCCAGGCGTAGCTCCGTGTGCAAATGGGATAGGCCACGCGTAATGGAACGCAACATGCCACAACACTGGGCAAAGTCTGTGCTATTGGCAATAAGCCAATCCTGAAGGCAGCCCAACGGTGCCAGTGATAAAACCAACTGATACTCCATGCGACCATCCATGGTGCGGCGTTCATCGTAGCCTGGTCAAGAGAATATATAATCAATTATTGGTTTAAGAGTAAAAGTCGCGAGCAGACCAACCAAAGTAGCTAAGCAGAGCCGGACAATCCATCAGTGGCAATGCATAGATGTTCCTTTCGTTCACATAATACTGATGATGGGCTTCTGGATATATCTTGACAGCTACTTCCTGTTCATGCAGCAGGCCCTTCATCACAGTGCCATACTTGCCGCTGCCCAGCATGCCGATCAAATTCATATTATCTACATTGCGCAGATTTGAACTGTAGCCGGGTCCCGAGGGTGCTAGCGGCGACTCTTCTGGCTCGCTCTTCTCCTTCACCCCACGGCAATATTGCATCGCCAACAGCATGCCAATGATGATGAGCGTTAGGAGTCCAACACAGCTGAGCAACGTTGTGGCCCTGACGGAATTTTGCTGATGGGATGCAGCTCGATTGGACACCGCCGATTGGACATTGTTGGCCAGCTCCAGTGGCGCCGGCTCTACAATGGCCACCTGGGCATTGCACAGTTCCCCCGAGCAGCAGCAATAGTACAGGCTGTTGTTGCGTGACGTGGGCGCTGAGCTGGTGCACTCCGACTGACTGCAAATCGAATTGCGATCCGTTGTGTCCTTCCAGCAGCCTAAATCGTCATGAGCCATGAGAATCTTGGGGAAATAATCAGATCCACTTTCTTACCCTGCTTAACCAATCGGGTGCCGTTTGATGTCTGATTCCACAGGGTGAAACAGAAGGTATAACCCTCCGTGCAGCTGCGTGTGTGCGGCACGCTGGCCGTCGTACTCGTCTCCAGGTACTGCTGCTGCTGCTCCGTGCTGATGCCTTCACTGTTCTCCTGCTCATAGTCATCGTCGTGCTGGCTATTGTCGTTCTCCTTGTAGCTCATGCAGCTGTACTGTCGACTTGGCGCAGGCGCTAACATAAATTGAAAGGTTTACTATCTGATTAGTCTTCGGCTTGACTTGGGTACTTACAGGCCAATGCCAGGGTAATCATGGCCAAGATAAGCAGCACGTTGCGCTTCCAGCTCCACAGGCGCCCAGTCATGTTGCGAATCTTAGATAAACTCGTCTCGCTTCAAGTGCACTTTGCTCGATTTTGTTGTTTTTATCACCTCTCTCGCTCTCTCTCTCTCTCTCTCTCTCTCTCTCTCTCTCTCTCTCTCTCTCTCTCTCAACTCCTCGACGCTTATTGTTTATGGCATTTTGGCAGATCAATAACAAATATTCTGCTGAAATAAGCATTGAATAACAAATAACAATGTTATATATATATTTATTTCCCTTTTTATAAAAAACAACAAAATATATTTATAAGCAAAATGAAACGCAGCGACAAGTCTGCCCGATTGTTATTGGACTCTTCAACATTTTTACGTTCTGGTCTTAGCTCCGGCTTCTATTTACCCCTGGCCGCCGATTCGGTATTCTATGGGCGTACTGTAAATTTTGCTAACGCTGCAACTCTATAAAGCGACGCCAGCAACAGCAACGATAACGCCGAGACCCAAATACTTAAATATACTCAATCAACTTGGCCGAGGAGCAACACTCGCAGTTGCTGATCATCGCCAACAACATTGTCGTTGTTGTTGTGGTTGTCGTTGTCGTTGTGGTTGGCGCTTCTTTATCAGACAGTTTGTCTTTCTGTCGGTCTGTCGCCCACCCACTTTTCTGAAAATGGAGCTGGCGCTGTAACGGGGGGCGTTTCGCGGACTGCGTTGCACTTTGGAATCATTTGGGGCCGCATTCTGCTGTGCAAATTGAGTCTCAGCGTGGGCAAAAAATATAAAAATAAATACACCGAGCAAATAAAATGTTTTGTACGCATTCCGCGGCATCTAGTTCGATATTTATGAATATTTCAGGCCTTAAAAAAGCCACCCAATTATGTGTATATCCCAAAGCTAAAAGCTCTTTCTTTAAATAAAAAGGTTGTTTTCATTTTATGAAGGAATTGGGCTTGAAATCTAAAGAGTGGAATATTCTTTTATACTATAAGAAAACCTACCTCTCTATTTTACATTTTTTTAAAGTAAGGCCTTTAAACCAATTCCCAAATTATGAATTTTAAAGAAAAGTGAGAGGATATCATAGTATTAAAGTCGTCCTGTATATACTTATATTTGAAATTTCAAGTTTGTAGCTTTTTAGGATGGACAGCCAATCATGGCTAGACTGACTCAGCTCGTAGTTCTTGATCAAGAATATATATAATTTATGGTGTCGGAGATGCCTTACAATGCCAAAGATACCATCTTTAGATAGTAAATAGAAACAAAATAGAATACTTTTATAATCTTCGGTGGCTATTATCAGTTAACTCTTCTATCTTTTTTATTTATGAAGGTTCTTAGCTACTATTGAATCAAGTACGTTATTTTTTCTCTCTGTATGAATACACATTATGTATGTATGTATGTATGTATGCATACGTAGTATGTATGCTTGTTTGCGCCTTCCCCATTCAAGTGGCGTCTGTGACGCTGATTAGAAATTTTGCTATTGGCTTTCATTATACGGTCGACTGAACTTTGGTTAAATGTCTTGATATATTACGCGAGTAGCACACGTTGTTTATGTGGCTCACCTTATCTAAGCAAACACGCACACACATACACCTACAAATTTTGGCTTAATTTCGTTAGTGAATTATGTTCAGAGGTGGTCGGAATTTGGGTTAATTGGCTTGGAGATGTTACAAACAGGGACCGGCTCGTTAAATTAAATGCAATTTAGAATTCTAGAATAATAAATTTCAAATAATTTGAATGAAGTGCATGACAACAAAGTTAAGTACACACGGGTGCAAATGTACGTGTATTTTACTCTTTCATATTTATGAGGTTGGCGCCGTCTGAGCTTTAAGAATGAAACAGAAAGCGTTGTCTCTCAATTTATGACTTATTGTTGATAAGAATTCACAAAAAATTAGAGAAGGTCGAGCTATTGCCCGAGTCGTGTCACTATGTCAAAAACGAATCTTCATATTTTGGGATTTTTTGAATGTGTATTTATGTTACAAATGTGATAATAGATAGCCCAAGCAAATTTTATTTTTAATAACAAAATATCGCATTTGGTTAAATAACAGGAAATGTCAGTTAGGTCCAGTTTCATTTTTACTTGATATATATTGGGATATGTTATATATAATTTTTGGCAAGGTGATAAGAAAATCTATCTTATCATTGCTTTTAAAAAATTATATGCATTTGTAAAACTGCATTTATTTGTCATCATTTGCGATCCATGCACACGTGGACAACGCAAAGGTCTACGGATGTTATAAAAATAAACATGGAAATTAATTGTGCAGCCTTTTGCATTATGCTTTGTTTTCGCACGTTATCGCCAATGAGAGTGGACGCCGACGCGTGCTCCTCAAGAGAACGTGAAAGAGAGCGAGCGGGAGAGCCGGCCACTCCAGAGTCGAGACATGGCACTCAGGAGCTCTGGCTGGCACATGCGCACGCTGCATGGCATAGGCAAACGAGAAGCGCAACTGGCGCGCCAAAACAGGTTCCCTAAGGTGAATAGGGGGGAGCGCCGAGGAGCAAGGGCGGGTGTCTGTTCCAGCATGACAGCCGACGGCGCCAGTTAATTGCAAACTTTTTTTTATAGCCATTTGCTGTTGCGTATCTTTTGACTCGTTGTTGTTGTTGAGGGACTGTGCAGTTTGCTGATTAACTTTTTGCATGCTGAGAGTGTGTTTTGTCTCTGTGCATGTGTTGTGTGTGTGTGTACTATGCAGTGCATCTGCGGCAGAGTCGTTGACGATGTGTGTATGCAGAAAATCAATGCAAGCACAAACACAACAGCGCAAGCAAACGACAAAGATGCGGATTGTTCGGTATTTTAAAGGGTCCTGAGTCTGGTTTTGTATGCATCAGGGTGGGTGGGCGCCATACTCAGACGGTCATATGTGTGCGTGAGTATGTGCGCGCGTGTGTGTGTCTGTGAGTGCGTGCGCAGACCTGCTACAAAATTGATTTTTCCCAAGTCATTGCGAATTATTGCCGCAAATGAAATATGGAAAATAATATCGTTAAGTTGAACAAAAAAACTGGCCAAACTTGTCGCGTTTGTGTCAATTTTTTAAATTGCGAATGGATTTACAAAACTTTATAGCTTTTCTTACACTCATAACGGTTTTTCAGGGCATGACCGCACTGCTTTAATGCAAATTATTTACTTTTTTAAATTTTTGTTTGCAATGCCTTTGAGTTTATTTAAACAAAAAACAGCACTGTTGTCATTTAAGAACGCGGCCGGCGCCAGACGCTTTTCTGTTGTTATATTATGTTTTCTTTTGTTTTTTTTTTCTTTTTCAAGGAATTTTACTCTCCCCTCTTTATTTTATATTACAATTTTGTTTGCTGCGCGACGTTTTGAAATTTCTGCTGCCCGTTGGACGCCGCCTTCGTCGTCGCTCGCTGAGAACTGACTAACTGACTGCGACTTAGGCGCCAGCAGCGTCGTCGACGCCGGCGGCGGCAGCAGCATGCGCATATTTACGAAGCAGCGACTAAAGGCACAGACACCGACTGGAGCTCTCAGAGAGCGACAGCGTAAAGAGAGCAAAAAAGCGAGAGCGGCAGAGTGCTTTAATCACTTGTTGATTGCGAGCTGAGTTTGAAAAAGGGCCGCGGATGTAGTTAGAGGTTCAGGATGAATTCTTTATTGATTAATATACATATACACACATTTTTATTGCTCCACCGGGTGAGCCGGCAGCACTTGACCCGCGCAACTGCCGAAACCTATGCGAAGGCCATTCTTCTCGCAGTGTCCACGAATGATGACCTCATCGTAGTCCTGCAGAAATTTGCGCGTTTTCCCGCCCTGCAGCTCCACCGTTTTTGTACCGCGCCAGCACAGCTCCAAAAGCGAGCCATACGAATCGGGCGTTTCGCCACTTATCGTACCCGAAGCCATTAAATCGCCAGGTCGCAAATTGCAGCCAGTGATCGAGTGATGGGCAATCTGCTGCAGGGGTGTCCAATACAAATGCTTAAAGTTGGACTTACTAATGAGCGTCTCGTTATCATTGGCAGCTGGAAAACATATATCGTTGCTTAACTGGAAATTATGGCTAAAACTGTGTTTAGCGCTTACGTTTTAGGGAAACTTCCAGATTGATGTCAAAATTAAAGGGTACAGATTGTCTTAAATATGGCAGTACTTCCGGTTCCTGGGGAAAGTTGTCCAGTAAAAATGGCTTTAACGCTGCCGTCGTTACTACCCATGGGGATATGGTAGTGCCCATATTCTTGGCTGTGAACGGACCCAGCGGCACATACTCCCATTTCTGTATATCGCGAGCGCTCCAGTCGTTCATCAGCGTAAATCCAAACACATTCTGCCAAGCATCGTCCACCTTGATGGATTCGCCCAACTTATTGCCAGGGCCGCCAATAAAGAATGCCATTTCTAGCTCAAAGTCCAAAAGCTTGCAGGCACCAAATACCGGTTTATCGGCGCCTTCTGGCAATGTCTGTCCCAAAGGCCGGCGTATGGGCGTGCCAGAGACGACAACAGAGCTGGCGCGTCCATGATATCCGACTGGCAAATGGCGCCAGTTGGGCATTAGAGCATTGTCTGCGCCACGGAACATGATACCCACATTGGTGGCGTGATGAATGGAGGAGTAAAAGTCCGTGTAGTCACCAATTTGCGCTGGTAGATGCAGTAGTATCTCCGACTGGGGCACCAGAGCTCTACAGGAAGTAATGAGAATAACTTTATTAGCACATAGAATCTTAAGAAGGTCTCTGGGCAACTAACAAAAGTCTTAAGTCCACATTCTGCTCCAATTCGGAACCCTTCAAGAGCAGTTTTTGGGTTTGAGTCCTCACTGCAGCCCACGCTTCGTGACCCAAGCTCATCAGCAAGTTCAATGTCTCTGCGTGGAGAGCAGCCTATAGAAAGTGTTAAAGCAGGGCAAAGTTCAATAAACAGTTCGGCAAGCAGTGCGTTCTACTTACTTGAAGCGGGGGTGCAAACAAATGCGACACAGCTTTTAGATCCAACACATGCTCTCCAATTGCTACGCAGAGGCGATGAACGGGCTGCAAAGTGACAAATACGATACAAAGAAATTATACGATATTCAAAGATACTGGCACAGGTGTTATACATTCTGAGCTGTAGCTGTTATGACTATGGAAATCGTGGATTGTTTTTGTAAACAAACTAGTTTGATATATGATTTATGCAAATGATATGCACCAATGCGGTCTTTGTTCTAGAGATATATACCAAAAACATGTGAAGCTCCGTTGAATGTCACATGGAATATGAAAACTAAGCAGCTTTTAAGCCAATAATGTTTTTTGAGAAAAACTTTAAAACAATGGTAGTCTTTGTATGTTTTAGAAAATGGAAACATCTTATACTTAATAATATGTAGCACTCTGGGTAGCTGCTTCAGGTCTTCACTTACATTAGATTTGGTTGAGAAGACAGCATATGGTAAATTTTCCAAAGGAAAATCGCTGCCGGTTGGCACTGGAACAAAGCTAACTGACATTTTATCCAAATTCTCACTGGTGTGAACTTTGTTACTAAAGAATTTACAACTTTTGAGTAGTTGTGTGCTTAGTAAACTGATTAGAATGACAGCAGTAAATAGAACTGTGCGTAGCGCCAGAGCGACGATTACAACTGAGCGCCAGCTCGCAACAGATCGTCTTTATATATCGTTTGTAGAAACCTATTCTGTCGCTCTTAAGCCTGTTGGACCGGTTATGGCGTGCTCTTAACAAAACAAGCCCCCACAATTCGTGATCAACTGCAGAGAGCCTATTAAAAACACTCTTTTTTTGCTCTTCGGTTACTTTTATTTATAATTTACTCGTATATTTATATGTTATATTTATATATATATATTTAGATGCTGGAATAATAGTTTTTATTGAAATTCTCAAATATACACGACAACAACTGATTTGACTTTTGATTTTTCCCTTTACATTTTCAATCATCCAATGTACACATAGAATGTTTGTAGTTTGCTTTTAATCGAACTTAGTTAACAGCACATTAAAATACAATACATAAATGTATATTTATATATGTTTGTGAAACTATTAATATTGATAGGGATTAATTGTGTACAGCACGTCTTTTGATGTATTATTTAAATCCGTTGCCCATGGGGTGTACTTCTATCATGCTAGATCAAAAACCATATTAGAATAAAACTGAACTGCAGTTAAGTTTTTTTTTGTGTGATTTTCTTATAATTTTCCAACGTTTTTTTTTCATTTTTTTCCTCAGTTTTTGTTTATATAATTGCATTTAATTGACACCGAATATATCTCATATACATATATATATATATATCAGACGTTTATGACAATGAGCGAAGTCTAAAAACTAAAATTCAACTAAATTATTCCTTTGTACGTATTCGTGTATATAGCACAGTTCGATAATTGGACTAGTTTTGGCCCGAGATTCCATTAAGCTTCAGAAACATACTTTATGTAGGGCATAAAGCTGTACTTAACGGATCTTAGAGCCTTCATTATCACAACTGAAATAAATAGTTACTGAACTGCGTTTTTTAGTTGACCAACTTTTTGGACGAAGTTTGTCCAGTTTAACAAGCACAGGTCTCTTTTGATATTTGGTGTAAAGGTACATACAATTGCCTGAAGCATAAACTTTGCCATGGATCAACTTTAAATATACTTTTCTATAGCAGCAACAGAATTGATTATGTAATTCAAAAATTACAAGCAATTTAACCGGAATTCAACATATTTCTTTATACATCTTTTTTGATGATAAGTTTATATATCATATAATTTTCCAACACTTAAGTTCTTAAGTGCTGTCCTTAACACTCACTAGCAATAGGCATTTATCAATCAGTAGCCTCAAAACAAACATCGCAGTCCAAAAGTATTTTTCATATTTTTAAGGTGCTCGAACTTTGATTCTCAAATTCATTTGGGGTTTTACTTTGTTTTCGTTTTGGTGGTGAGCGTGGCGGGTGGTTTTTGTAGTTGTATTGAGTTATAAATATACATCTAGATATTTATAGAGTATTACTATATAATTTTTTGATATATGCTATGTGCAACAGTCGTAATAACCTTTTGAAATACTTTGAAAGTGAAACATAAATTTAACTTGACAACACTTTGATTATAAGTATGTGAGTACATATTTTTTAAGTTTTACAACACTAACTCGACTCCTTAAAATGGGATAACACAAATACTAAATCAAACGTAACATTCGGTAATATATTCAAACAAAATTACAGCAACATTTAACTTTGGTTAGTTGGGAATTATTCATTTTGCGTTCTTATGATATGCTTTTTAACTTAAAGATACTTCTTGGTTGTATGAACTACGCAACAGTATCTAGATTTATCTTTGGAGAAAATTATGATTTTCAGCTCGAATCGCTTACAAGTCATCACCCAACCGGTGTATCTCATCGAGCATAAAGTCCACATCCGCCTCGGTCACAGCAGCCGAAGAGATGATCGAGCGGAAGAAGTTGGGTCGTCGATCGTCTGGCTGATAGCCCACCATAAGTGTGCCCTTCTGCATCATGCGATTCTTGATAATTGGACAGATCTGTAAAGGTGTCAAATAGAGATAGTCGACTTCGAAAAAGTAGAAAGCGTTTGCTTTACTTACCTTGCCCAGTTCCACTTCTTTCTTTGCGTCATGTGGCATGCCTCTCAAACGCTTGGGCACATACCAGAACGAGACATTAACGCATTCCGGCTCCAAGATCAAATGGAATCGATCGGATTGGGCGCGTATGCGCTTCAACTGATACTGAACCAATTCCATCAAGCGATCCTGCTGCTGCTCAAAGCCCTCGGTACCCTTGGCGCGCCACTGCAGCCATAGCTTGAAAATGTCATTGTGACGTCCACACTGGATGACCTTATCGCCAGTGTCGTAGCTAATGTCGTAATGTTTATCGGTCATGAACAGATACTCGGCCGACATTTGGTTGCAGCTGATGAGCAGGCCCTGCACGTGGAAGAAGATTTTTGCTATCAATATAAATGGAAGTATTTTCAACTTTTTGCTCATAAGTCAAGTTGAAATTTTAATTAAAATTCCGGCTGCCAAAAGGCGCAACTGTGACCGATGGCAACATATTGCACAGAATATTAAAAAAAGAAAGAAAGGCCAATCGAGGGGTGGCTCTTACTGGGCGCATTTGCCGAACTAAACAGCAGCAACAGGGTTGTCAAACATTTGCTCACTCACTGTAGCTTTGGGCTGCGACAACCCCTGTGCTAGTCTGTCTGTCTGTCTGTCTGCCTGTGTGACTGTCGGCCCGTTGTTTGGCATGAAAAATAACAAGGAATTGTTCGCAACACAATTGGAATTCTTTAGACAAACAACAAACATTGTGATATGCACAAGAATGCATGGGGAAGTTAGACTCGAAACGATGGAAGAGCAGGTTTCAAATGAGAATAGCTCAACAAACAGTTTGGGAAAGGGTAAATTCAAGAGTCAATGTGTTCAAATATATTTATAAATCGATTACTTGGCTTGGCTTAAAGCACATTTGTATTTAATTTAAAACAAAAGAAAATCGAGTTAGGGCTGAAAAGTTTACAGCAACTTTGTCTAATTTATCTAGAATTTAGGTATATATTTTTTTTACCCTTGGTACTTACATCTTCCTTGAAATGAATAGTCGAGCACTGGAGCAGTGCTCCCATTAGCTTGTGTGGGTTCCAGGTAACAGAATCGGCGCTGCAAAAGTCAAATCATAACGTGCGACAATATATTAAATGACATTCAATTACAAATTACAAACAATTAACACTAAGCTGCCGCGCTATGTGGTCTGTGTAGCGACTTACCAACCCCTCATTGCCAGTCGCACCCCCCGCAAGGACAACGACAAGGACAAGAGCTATACGGGCAAGTGCCATAAATTGTGGCAATTTCAAGCCGCAGAGCTTTAATTGAATTCAAAGCGAGCGCAACCCCAAAGCCCGAGGGCTCGACTGTCGCCGCTAAACATCCCCCTGGGGAAGCTATTTACAGTTCAGGCCGGCTGCTCGTGTGGGTGTCTATAAACATGACGCTTATGGAGTGGCAGTGAGTAGGCTTCAGGTTGAGTGGCGGCATGTGGCGCATGCCACAAATTTTATCAGTGCTTGTGCTTAGGCTTGTGCAACTCCAAGAGTACGAAAACTTTTGCAATTGTTTTAGGCATTTCCACAAGCTCAGCAGAATTAAGAGCCGTCTCCTAGCGGCTAGGACCGATGCTATTAATCAACTCGGGCTTAGCTGTCAGCTGCACGCGCATTTAATGATTAATTTATAGAGCGATTGTGAGCCGTTCAATTAGGGCCCACAATTTGCATGCCAAGATCTGGTGGCAGAAGTATTCACAGCCAAATGGCATGAATGGCCACTTGATGGATGGGGCCATCAATTTGAAAGTGTTTATGGGACACTGCCTTGACCGCAAGCTGTCAATACGACAGCTGCAGTGGCGACATTTGCCTAAGCTGTGCGGGATTTTCATTTATGGGTGCCGGGGGGAAAGCGGTTGGTGTCGTAAAGTGCACTTAGGTACTTCGATTTTAACTTTAAAATTAAAAATTCCCTGCAAAACAATCTAGAGAAGCAGCCGCCTGCGGCCTATTGTTTGGTGTAATTGTTGTGTAAGTAATGCCCACCACCCATCCACCCATCCAACCATTCGGCCATCCTCCATCCATCAAGGGCTGGCAGAAGGGTGGCCAAATGAGTGCTGCAAGGGCGCGGGTAGTATATCCACTTTGTTCATTTGTTTGTCTTTTACGTAGACGAAAGTGCACTCGGCTTTGGGCCTTGTAATCCCTTTAAGCTCTGAACACCTGATGGAGGCACTAAATGACAAATTGAGATTTTTGCCACATGTCGCTGAGGGCTTGCGCCGTCGCTGGTGTGAGTACTTTGAGTTTTGAGCGATGCGGGCCATTTGGGAGCATTTAGATTTAAATTTGCACAACAAGAGATTTCAATTTTTGTTTTGACTGCCTGAATATGAGGGCAAAAGAACAAGGCCGAACAAAGGGCCAGCCCCGAAGATGAATGAGAAAAGTTATTGTATGGGACATGAAGACCTGAAGATATGATGACTTCTAGGCACGCTTGTCGCCAGGCTCATGGAATTTAAAATTAATTTCCAACACCTTTATAAAAATTGATTACATGCAGAATCTGTACTTTTTATAATAAACTGTCAGCATTGGGAAATATATATTTGTATATATAGTACAGCATGGAAACAGACAAGTGGACATGGCTGTAAACTCGGCAGTTAGTGCTGCATACATATACTTTATGGGGTCGGGAATGTCTCTATGCGTTGCAAATTTCATTCATAAAATAATGCTAAACTCTACATAGATATAAAAAAACCTATACATATATACAACTTATATTTAACTCGAAAATGGGTATAGGGTATCTCTATGTCGGGCACTTCTCACATAAAACACTTTTCCCCATGTATTTATTTTATTTTACACATTTTCAATATGTTCTGGATATAAACTATATATACAATTCACATAGTAATTAAAAATACTTGAAGATATTAATTCTGATAAGCTTTGACCCAAGAAAATAGACATTATATAGAATTTTGCTCAACAATTGTGCTCAGCAATTGTGGATTAGCTGATAAAATGAATGCATTGATTATATATAATATAAAATTTTCTGAAATTAAAAAAACCAGAGGTTTCTGGGCTTGGGCGCTGCCCAGACTAATTTAGTCGCGAATGAATTTAGCTGTACGAAGTTGGGTGACATTTCAGATCTAATCTTTTATTCAAAATGCAAATATACCTCAGAGTGTTTGGCATGATTTTAATTTTCTTATTGAATAAAGTGAACTTTATAATAATGGAAGATCGGGTGAGTTTCTGTGCCTCAATAGAGTTTATCGTTTAACATCTAATGGATTTCCATTTATTAGAGCTGCACTGTTTCTAGAAATTTTGATAGCCAATGCGGTGGCTACTGTTACAAGATTGTAAAGACTCTTCTTGAACATGCTTCTTCCGTACATATAAAAGAAAAAAAGTATACAGAATTGGAAGCTAAAATTAATGAACAAAAACAAGTTATCAATTATATGGAGGCACAGGAACTTATTATGCAGGCAAATCTTACTTTCCATAGAGAAACTATTAAAAGTAAAGATATGCAATTGGCGCTTCAACTTGAGCTGATAAACTCATACACAAGAAATAGTGTAAGGGACATTACTGAAAAAGAAATACTTCAATTAAAAGCTTTGATCAATGACAAAGACCTTCAGCTGAGCAATCTGAAAAAACAACTTACATCGAAGTGCTCAACTCACGAAGATCTATCTAAACCTGCCAGCTGCCTAGATAAATCGAATGGAGTAAACACGTTAAAAGTTTCCGAAATGAAGACTATCTCAGTAGTCTGTGACTCAGACATGGCCGGTCCCGGATGGATCGTAGTACTACGCCGGATTAATGGTGAAGTGAGTTTTAACCGAAACTGGGAGGAGTATAAGGCAGGTTTTGGCGATCAGCGGGGAGAGTTCTTTATAGGCTTAGAGAGCCTCTATCTACTGACGCAATCACAACCTCACGATTTATATATAAGCCTTATGGATTCTAAAAATGAAACTCGGCTCGCCCGCTATAGTAATTTTCTCATTGGAAATGAGGCAGAATCCTATGAGCTGAAAAAACTTGGAGAATATTCGGGAAATGTGGGTGACGCCTTCAGATATCATGAACACATGCATTTTTCAACCCCAGATCAAGATAATGATTTGAGTCGGCGAAATTGCGCCAAAGATCTCAATTCTGGATGGTGGTTTCATAAGTGTTATAGCTGGTAAAAAAAAAAAAACATTTTTTTAAATATGCATGAGCTTGCCTGTTTGAGGTCAGATTTTTTATAAAAAAAAAAAAAACAATATTTTTGCCGACTTGATGTTGAAGTATATTGGATTTAAACATAGCAATCGCGTTTTCAAAAAAGTAAATGAAAAATCGTCACCTCGAAGCGTTCAAGTGAAAATTCGTCAATAACAATACATTTCATTTACATTTTAAATATATTATTGTCTTATATTGACCTTAAGCAACCTAAATGGAGAATATGAAAAGGATGGCACTGGTAAATATGGAGTTCATTGGAAAACATGGCAAGGAAGATCGATCAAATTTGTGCAAATGATGATTAGACCAACCTCTCAGTAGGTAAGAATATTACGTTTTTGTTAAGTGATATTCATGGCTGCTCTCTCCCATACAAAGATCAAGTTCAAAACTATTCATATTTTTTCTGCGGACATTGCATCATTAAAATAAAACATTCATTCATGATATCTTGAGTCTAACACGAAAATGAAAACCAAAATGCATCACTTGAGATATATTTTCCATTTTGCAAGATATTCCATAAGATTATGGAAGTTATCTGTTCTATCCTGTTATAGTTTGCTACCAACCACGGATGATGATGATGGAATACATGAGGAAATATATAGCTGGAGCTTTTTGAACATACATATATAAATATGAACAGATGTGAAATCTATCATTTTAAATTTTTTAAATATTTTAAACTTTTCTTAAACAATAAATAAATCATATTCTATCTTTGATAATATGTGATTAGACTAGATATTAGGTCATTATCTAAATTGTACTTACCGTTCAACTCCTGTGAATCTGGGATGACGATGCTTTCGCGACATCAGCAATCCACCTCCCCAAGCAGCCTGTTAGAGCACGAGCAGAAAACTCCATTAAATATTCAAGCTAAAACCCAATTGCTACTCACATCAATGTGCATCCAGCAATTGTATTTCTGACAGATATCCGCAACAGTATTCAGATCATCAAAGGCTCCGAGCACAGTTGTGCCGGCCGTGGCATTAACAAAGAACGGAATATCGCCCTTGGCCTTGCGCTCGAGTATTAAACGCTCCAACTCGGAGGTGATCATTTTGCCATGCTCATCGGATGGCACCATGACGCAGTTATCGGTGCCCAGACCACACACAGAAGCGCAAGATTTGATCGAATAGTGGCACTGATCCGAAGTGAACATGACCAAATTGCCGGGCAAGCCAGCCGAGCCGTGCTCCTTGTAGTTGGGGAACATCTTGTGGCGAGCGGCCAAGAAGGCATACAGATTCGAAATGGAGCCGCCGGGCGCCAAAATCGAATCACCGCCCGACCAGCCAATGATCTCACGCATCTTGGTGAGCACCACGTTCTCCATGAGTATGAAAACCGGGGCTATCTCGTATGTGAACATGTTGGTATTGGCAGTGGCGGTCAACCATTCGCCAGCCATGGAGATCAGATCCAAGCCGTTCGACAGCTGATTGAAGAAGTGCGGATGGCCTGTGGAGCAGAAGTTTGGGTTCCTTGTTTAATGTAGCTGAAAACGCCTTCCGCAATTTCGACATGGCTGTCTGTCAACTGGAGCCGGTTAAGCTGACAGCAGATGTGCCTGGCAGCTGTGTTGCCATCTCCTGTGCCACACTTTTTTGTTTTATTAAAAATATTTCAGCTGAAACAAAGCAACAATTCGCCCACCCCACCCAAGCACGGCTGACTGGCGTTCAATACAAGGCCGGATGTGCATACGTTCAAGGGCAGACGAACCGACAAACATTTTTTGAAGCTCCATTCGGGGTCAGAAAAATCAATAGGGCCGAGTTCTTAAACCGCTTGCCTTGCCCATTGTAAGCCCACCAATCTTGATGTGTCTTAAACTGTTCATTTATTGCAGCTAATTGCGACTTGCTGCGACTACTGGGAAATCCCACGAAAAATCACAAAATGCTTTCAGTACAAACAGCGGGAAAGAACGGCATCAGGAAGCTGTCGAAAGCCCCTCGCCAATGTGTCCTGCCCAGCGAACCCTTCGCTGCTGCTCTGGGCGTCTGTCAGTTCACATCTTGAGTGCCATAAGTCGTGTGATTAAAATCCCATTCGCCACAAGGCTAAATCCACCCACACACCCCCACACACTCCCACTCAGACGCACACAATACATACACACCTAGTGTATAAAAGCGTCGGCATTCAAACATTTCAATTTGCGCATGTGGCCGCAGTTGTTGCCACGACTCAGGACTTTCGCGTCACAGGACCTGAGTCACCCTCGACCTAGACACGAGCCAAGACTGCCAGGCAGAGCGTCAGGCAGTCAGTCATTCATTCGCATCAAAGGATCAGGAATGCAGCGAGTCAGAAAATAACAACGGATTTTGATTAAAGCTTCCCTTTTTATAGAGTCGTCCAGGAGCGAACGACAGACAGAAGCCTTCTGGCACTCGCCCGGCCATATCATGTTTCCCCAATGGCAGGGTGCGCATTATGTGAGATTATGGATCATAAATGGGATTTTTATCATGCCAGTTTACGCAAAAATGTGCTTGTGCTACGAAAAAGAAAATTCCGCCAATGCGAATATGTGAAAACTGTTTTTTGCAAAGAAGTTGTGAAAGTAAATCTGAGAAAAGATATGTTAATAGTTGTAGAGAAAGACATTTACAATTAGTCTTGAATTCGGTTCAGGTACTTTTCTCGTTCATTTAAGATTTTTTCAAAACACACATTTCTTTCCTTATAGTCAGTCTGTGGTTAATTGTATTCATCAAGCAGTCAAATATAATCAGATCCTTGTTTATTCAGCTACTCGCTGATTGTATCGCCATGCCAGGCGCGCCTTCGACCGGTTTTAATTCAATTTTCAGGCAAAAGAAATAAACCTGTGCTGTATCCCAGCTCTTGCTACAAGCCAGCATAATTTCCTGCATTCACAAAGTGTGCGGGGGGAGACGGAAGCTCACGCAGTTTCCTAGACAAGGCCACAGCTTCCGGGGTTGGGTGATGCTTATTATCGATACTCCAAACAGAATTGCGGTCACGTGCGCGCTCCTGCCAATGTCCTGGCCGCCCCTTGCATTAATTTTCAATGAAATCAGGCGCATATTCACGTTCAATAAAGAAAAACCAACAAAAAGCGAAACGTGCGAATGACTTTTGGCTGCTAAAGCCAGCAGTCAGAACCCTTTGGCTGATTTATGATTGATGGCAAGTCAGATTTGCAGATTTAAGTCCACATCGCGTTGGCTCGGGCGAGTCGAGAGGAGTGTTTTTGAAAGGTGTTGTTGTTATTATTGCTGGGA